ATTTCAAAAAGTTAAATTTTTATGTTAATTTTGTGCTGCTACGTAAACACTTTTGGGCTGTATACAAACCCCATTACATGTTAATTTCCACGGGCTATATAAGAAGTTCAAATTTTTGCTCAACCATGCGATATAGCGTTTTGATACGAAAAAAATCTCTTGGAGCCCATAAATAATATTGCTGATTTCCCTTGGTAATTTATATATCTTACAATGATTGTGCATTGTTTGAGATGACCAGGCGCTAGACTATCTTTTGTAATACAGAGTTTACGAAATATGATATTGCGCGACGTCACAGCGATCTTTCTTTTTCTTGCATAAAATTGCGAGAAAATGAGGGAAGTCCCATTTCCGGAGGCTATAATCGAAGTTTCTTGGGAGACGTGGCGGAATATTTTTATCAGAACTTATAATAGTGATAATGAACACCATCAACAGTAATTTTCGTACCATTCCAATAGCAAAGTTCAAAGATACGATCGATTTTTCAAAATTCCTAAAAGGCCGAAATTGTTTGTTAAAAAATTTTTTTTGAATGCTGACGTTATCGTTACTGTATAAAAAGACACCCACAGAGCAACCAGGTGATCTCCCACCGCTTTTTTCGTAGATTTTTTTAATTCCACCCCTTCTCTTCAGCCCAGTCCACCCTCGTAAATCTCTCTGGGAATTCGGGGAAAGATCGTCTTGTTTTTTTTTATTACAACTTGAACATAAAAAATCGTAACATTATTTCCTGTAGAGGGTCAAGTTTTTTTTAATTGCATCGTAAAAGTAAAATTTTTTAGAATTGCACTGTGCGGATTTTTCAACTTCAAATTTTCGACCGCACAGTGCGGATTTCTCCCAAATTTTTTGTGGGTGAAATGCCTGAGGCATAGTTATTTTATTCAATTTCTAATTTTACCTATGATTTCCGTTTTTCGAATTTTAAATCCAGTTTTTCTCATTGCACTGTGCAAAGATAAAAAATTCGAATTTCTCGGCGCACAGTGCAGATTTTTTCGAAATTTTTGTGTAGATAAATTGCCTGAGGCATTCTTATTAAATCGAAATTATGGGTTTTCTCACAAAATTAACCATACTTATTTTACATTCATTGTTTTCCACTGCACAGTGCAGCCGCCAAAAAATTCCATTTCCGGCCGCACCGTGCAATTTTCTGACAAAAACACACTTTCGGAAATTACAGTAGTTAAAAATAGGCAAATTACACTCCACTACGCTTCGTATTACGCCCATTCACACCTACAATTGAGTTGTTTTCGACATTAATTGTCCCCCAATATCGCCCATTTTCCGCCCCACCCTCGGCCCAATTTAATTCTCGGCCCCCGTGCAGAGAGCGCGGGGCCAGAAGAGAGCGGCGAGGTGGGCGAAAGATGTTTACGCCTCTGTTTTTTGTGACGCGATGGGGGAGTCATATGGAGAGGCATTTTTTCGTCAAGGAAGTCTCGAGAGAAGGGAAAGGAGGAGGTGGAGTGTTCGGTTTTAGCATAGGCGTTCCATTTTCGCCCCTTTCCGCCGCCGAAAATGGGCTTTGAAACTTGCAAGTTTTTTTGGTTGTACTAAATTTATGTTTCTGATGTTTTACTAGTATTTTTAGAGCAAGAAAGTTCCCTCGACTCTATTTTTAGGACCTTTCCGCTTTTAAAAGTCTCAGTTTTTGCTTAAAAACCCTATTTTATCCGTTAAAATATCCATTGCACTGTGCGGAAACATTTTTTTATTTTGCACAGTGCGCCCACTTTTATTCAAAAAATTTTCGCAAAGTGCAAGAAAAACGAAAAGCGAGAATGGTCGCACAGTGCGCCGGACAATGGGCTTTTGTCGCGACCGCACTGTGTAATCGATCTTTCGTCTTTTCCGCACGGTGCGGCGGCTTTTCTTTTGTGGCCGCACAGTGCATTCGAATTTTGTTTATTTTGCACTGTGCAATTGAAAAATTTGGCGATTTTTTGCACAGTGCGACGAAAGAAATTTTTTTTAAACGCGCACTGTGCGGATTCAGAAAGTTTTTTTGCACCGTGCAGTCTAAAAAAATTTTCCCAAAACAAAATTTTTTCGAATCAAAAAAAAAGTTTAGTGGTCAGCTCCCGAAAGGAACATGTTGTAAAGCCCATTCTACCGTAATCCCCTTCTGTTTAGAAGGCGAAAGGTTGGCGTAAATGGAAGAAACGATTGCTTTTTTGGTTGTAATGTTATACAGTAGGGTTTACAGCATTAATGACGTTGGAGAACTTATACTTTTCTTACTTTACAAAAGCCTCTTTACTGTCATTTATAGCGACATCAAATTTTTTGGGCGGTGCACAGTGCAATGGAGCAAGTTTAAATTTGTGATGCACTGTGCAGAGATTAAGAATGTCGACTGCACAGTGCGACAATTCAAAAGTTCGATTGCACAGTGCAGTCCAGTCAAAATAACAGTTCTTTCGCACAGTGCAAACGTTTCTTTCAAGAATTTTCGATCGCACAGTGCGAAACACATAAAAAATTTTGATCGCACTATGCAGTCAAAAAAGAAAAGCCGCCGCACTGTGCAACGGACAAAAGATGGATTGCACAGCGCGCTGGCGACAAAAGCGCATTGTCCGGCGCACTGTGCAATCATTCCCGCTTTTCTTTTCTCTTGCACTGTGCAAAATTTTTTGAATAAAAATGGGCGCACTGTGCAAAATAAAAAAAATCTTTTTCGTACAGTGCAATGGATATTTTAATGGGGAAAACAAGATTTTTCAAGATAAAAATGGGATTTTTAAAAGTGAAAAAAATCTAAAAATCAATCACAAGTATCGTTTTTGCCTAGAAATATACCAGCTTCATCAAAATCATCAAAAAAAAAATATTTTTTTTTTGAATTTTTTTTTATTTTCTGAACTTTGGTTTCCTTATCAGTCCCCCTTCTTAACCGACTATATGTCATGCATTATAAAAATAACCACTCGTAAAGCACTTTATTACGTGCGCTATCGGCGCTGATAAGCCCGCCTGACTTTTTTCTTTCTGTTTGATCAAGCGTTTTCTATAAATTTCTCGGTCACAAGATCACTAAAAGGGTATGTAAAGCCGGCGGCGATAAGCTTTTTCCCTTGTTTGTTTGTAAAGCGGAAAGAATTTCGGGGTTACGTCAGAAAATTGAAAAAAATTGTCAACCTGAATTGAGGGAGGGCCGGGAGGGCAATAAAAATAATCGTTTGCATATTTTCGAAATTATCCTCTGCGTTTTAATTCAATTTTTATTGCTTTATTTTTTTCGATTTTGCACCGTGCAAAAAACTAGGTCGCTTGCACTGTGCAAGGGCTTTTTTGCACTAAAAAACGGACTGCACAGTGCGAAATTTTGATGACATTGCACCGTGCGGGGAAATCAAAAAATATTTTTTTGATTGCACAGTGCGTTCAAAAATTTTATTCTTTCGCGCTCTGCAACACAATTTTTAGTGCAAAAAATGGGTCTGTACGGTGCGAAATACAGAAAATTCCGGGATTTTCCCGGAATTTCGACGATTTTGCTTCATTTTCAGTCCGAAAACATCTAAAATCACTAACCAATGAAGAGATCTCATCTCTCTCTGCCTTTACAGCCCCTCGATTGTACTTTACCGCCCGTTTACAACGCCCGTTCAGCCCGAAAAAGCGGCAAGAAGACGGTTTTCGCACGGGGAATGTCATCGTTACACAAGAGGGTCCCTTTTATAAATATTACCCAGAGTTTTGTCTCCCTTTTCATTCGACGATAATGAGAGGGGTTCCATTGTTCGCGGGAGGGGGAATGGGGGCCTCGGGGACAATCGACCTTGTTCTAGACCGCTTTTTTTCCGCCTGTATTCGACTATGGGGCTACGTGAATTGGGCTCTGAAAATTTCCATCATTCCTTGTTCTCGTATTTTACATCAAAAAAAATCGATGAATTTTTTGGTGTTCTCTCCGAAATTTCAATTTTTCCCCAATCATCGCTCCTTTTTTCAATTTTTGTGTCGATAACTCGTATTTTAGCTCGATTCATATTGCAATATAGACTCTAAAATGTAGAAATTGCCATATAAATTGTATTTTATATCCAAAATCCCCTAAATTTCATGATTTTTTGGCCGAAATTTCGATTTTTCCCTCGATTTTGATGATTTTTCCCAAAAAATCGCCGTTTTCAACAGTTCATCCTATTTTACCATCGACCAAAAACTAGATTAAACCATTGCTGTCTAGTTTCTGTATATCTACACCACTAAGACTCAAAATTTCCCTGATTTTTTATTAAAATCATCGCTGAAATTAACGCAAACCCCAATCTTTTTACGATTTTCATCCGTTTCAGCGCAAAAATCCTCTTTTGGCTTATGTTTCCCAACAAATTAATGGGAAATGCATTGAATTTTGTGTGAGAATCTCCCAATCTCACCTGCTTTCATCATTTTTTTCGCTAATCGCCGCTAAAAACCGACTCATCCCGAGTCTCGAACGCCCTAATCCGCTGCGAGCCAACGCTGGCCTCGCATTTTACAACCCCTCCCCGAGGGGTTATGGCCACTTTGGCGCGTTGCTAATGCGGTTAATACTTAATACCTGAGGGGAAGGTAGGGCAAAAGCTCCCGTCATCGCTATTTACGTATGCGCCGGAAGGATTGTGGGGGGATTTGCGGGATTATGCATCAGCTCTTTATGCCTCGAACCGTAAGCCGGCGGCTTATCGCCAAGAACCCCGAGGGCTTCCTTAATTGAGGGGCGGAGCTTGCGAGCGCACGGTGCAACGGGAATGTTTGGATTGCACTGTGCACAAATTGGGAAAAGAAGCGCACGGTGCGGTGGGAATGCGCGCGACGAAACTGCACTGTGCGATTTGATGAAATGTCGCATTGCACTGTGCGCTTTGAAAAATGTCGCATTGCACTGTGAGCTTTGAAGAAATGTCGCGTTGCACTGTGCACTTTGAAGAAATCTCGCATTGCACTGTGCATTTTGAAGAAAGGTCGCATTGCACTGTGCGCTTTCAAAAATGCCGCAATGCACTGTGCGATTTGAAGAAATGCCGCAAAGCACTGTGCATTTTGAAGAAATGTCGCACTGCACTGTGCGCTTCGAAGAAGTGTCGCATTGCACTGTGCGCTTAGAAGAAATGTCGCAATGCACTGTGCGATTTGAAAAACTGTCGCATTGCACTGTGCGCTTTCAAAAATGCCGCAATGCAATGTGCGATTTGAAGAAATGCCGCAAAGCACTGTGCATTTTGAAGAAGCGTCGCGTTGCACTGTGCGCTTTGAAGAAATGTCGCATTGCACTGTGCGCTTTGATGAAATGTCGCGTTGCACTGTGCGATCGTTTTGCCGGCCTTCCCGCCGCACTGTGCGATCGTTTCTCCGGTCGCACGCTGCCTCAAAACAGTCATGTCTGCTCGTTCAGCGCCACAGAACAGGGACGCTCCCAACAATGATTACCCTTTAATTGCCCTCGAGCGAAAATTCGAAGACGTCCCGCCGCACCGTGCGACCAAACTTTTTGTCTTATCAGGGCGAGCGGAGAGTACAAAAATGCGGCGATAAAGGGGCGAGAAATGGAAGGGGAAGAGAGACGAGACGCCGTCATGGCTGCCGGGCGGGGGTCGCGGATCGTTTCGGGGGTCACGCGATTCCCGGAGATTTCCATTTTTGGGGCGGACCGCCTTAGGCGGGGGTTTGGGATGGAAGAAATGGTTGCGTGAGATGATTGCGGAGTTGTATTGACATTTACATGCATTTATTCGGCCGGTTACTACGTAATGAGAGCAAACTTGTGCTGTTCCAGCCATAAATTTTTCGATTTTCATCATTTTTTATATTACTTTAGGGGAAAAAACCAATTTTTTTACCTTTGAAGGCTTGATTTTTTAAAAATTTTCCACCGACCATCCGTGTTTTTTACTTTTGTTCGCGTTTTCCCCCAAAAATCGCAAAATTTCCAATTTCAATTTCAGATCTCAAAATTTACCGGTTCCAAAAAATCGCCTCCTCCAATACAACGTGTCTACTCTAATATATCTCCCTAATATATTCAAATCAGAGACTCTTCTATTGTGCATTCGACTTAAGATTCAAGGCTTTTGAATCCATACCTCAACAAACAAATTCCCGCCCAAATTTCTCATTCCCCACCTGGTGCAATGCTGGTTGTCTACTCGGCGCCCCAACGGTCGTGGTTCACGCCGGCGCGTTGCGCGAGCACCTGTTCGTCGTCGGCGTTCGAGCCGATGCCGCCGCGGCCCTGCACCGACCGTCGCCTGCCCATCCATCCGAATCGAGAGGAGTCGCTGCGGCGCCTCGTCCTCGTCCACTCCATGGCCAAGAAGATCAAGGTGGTCCGCGAAGAGGTGAGCGATTCTCAGCCAAAATTTTTTTTTATTTTTTTTATGCACAGTGCGGTTGAAAATTTTTTCGCACCGTGCAAAGTGAAATTCATTGCACCGTGCAAAACTAGTGCTTTTCGCCTAAGGCAAGCAAAATGATTTTGTCAATTGAAGCCGGATTCTATTCAGATTCTGCACGCAAAATTTTAAATCATCCAGATGCGACACAACGATTTCATGCACGGTGCAATGAAAAGCCGATTGCACAGTGCACTCAAAATTTCCGCCGCACCGTGCGGTAGAAACTTGTTTTTTGTTTTCGCACAAAGCAAATTTTTTGCACTGTGCGAAAGGAAAAATATTTTTTGATTCTCCCCGCACTGTGCAATGGCATCAAAATTTCGCACTGTGCAGTCCGTTTTTTAGTGCAAAAAAGCCATTGCACAGTGCAATCGATCAAGATATTTGCACGGTGCAAAATCGAAAAAATAAAGCGATAAAAATCGAATTAAAACGCAGAAAATTATTTAAAAAAAAACAAAAAAAATCATCGCACAGTGCAATGCAAACATTATATTTGCACCGTGCATTTCCCGAAGCCCAAATTTTATTCAAATTTTTTGCAGGAAGAGCGCCAACGTCGGAAGATGGAGCAGAAACGTCGTGTTCAACATGTGAAACAGTTGAAGACGACTCGATCTCGCGCTCCTCATGAGGAAGTAAGCGTTTTTTTATATTGTACTAGACATCTGATGTCAAAAAAATAAAAAAAAAAAAAATTTAAATTTTAAATTTTTTCTCGATTTTTTTTCTAAAATACGTCTCATTTCAGCTGCTCATGCTCCCGAAACGCCCTCATTTGGAGGTGTCGTTGATTGAGGAGCTGTGCCGACCCTGCTCCGACCCGCTGCAGCCGCTCCTCCGTTCCAGTCCGTTCGAGGACGCCGCCTCCGACGACATGCCGCCGCTCATCCAGAGCGTGGTGGACTTCCTGATGGACGCCTGACTAGCCGCCGCCGCCGTCGCGCCGCAAGTGTAGCGAAATTACTGTATAGTCCGAAACAACAGGTGGTCCAATGTACAAATCTTCGTGTAGATGGTGCAGAATCGAACTCCTCTCCTCCTCTCCCTCCTTCGATAATATCCTACCCCCATTCGGAGCGGGTTTGTGGCACAAACCCGGCTCGAGACTTGTAAAAAATACCGGTTTTTCTCCCTCGCTATTTCCACCAACCCCCCAAAACTTCTCTTCGCGCATCAGGTTTATCGTGTAGAACAGGTGTTACATCGAAATTCTATTGTACATTGAAGAAGCAGAAGGCGTTCGGAGTGCTGTAGGCCCACGTTATGTGGGGTTTTCGGCCGCTTTTCGCAAAATCGGCCGGAAATTGTGAAATTTTAGGTAGAAATTTATAACTTCTGGGTATTTCCGATGGTATATGGGTAAAATACGGATTGATTTTTCTTTATCACGGCCTGTTAGTCGATTTCTAACACATTTCCGCCTTCTTCTCCCCAATTTTTGCAAAAAGTTCGGGCGCAGCTCGCCAATTTTAAAAATTCAAATTTCCCGCCAAAAACCGCAAAAATCGAAAAAATAAAAGCCCTGCAATTACTAGACTCTTCTACAGCACTCTCAGCCCCTTGGTCTTGTAGATATTCGCATTCGAATCCAGTTTTAATTCAAATCCGGGCCACTGTAAACAGACAGAATCAATATTTATACCCTCAACAAAACTCACCCATAAGTTATACCTGTAATATTATAGATGTCTATTTATAATATATCCGCCTTCACATGGGTCTACATATGCTTTTCGTTGTTCTCTCTGCCGTTTCAATTTTTCGTGTTGTTGACCATGGACGGCGCGAATTGCGGCGTTCATAACTACGGTTGTAATGGGAGTGGGGACATTATTTGCACACCGTTACAAAGCGCATGGCATGTAGTTTCGTACGCCTGTAGCGCTAGGACGGTGGCGTTTCAATTTTCCGAGATATGAGCGTTTCATTTCGACCTTATTTTAGAGATAAGATCTGAAATGAAAAGCTGAATATCTCGAAAAGTAAAAGCGCCACTGTTTAGCGGCTTACAGCGTACGAACTACAAGTCATAAGCTTTGCAACGATGACAAAATGTTGTCTCAACTCCCGCTACAGCCCGAGTTACAACGCCCTTTCGCGCCGCCATTCTTCGCAATTTCCCCTCTCATCGCTCCGCCGAACGTGTAATCGAACCTTGTTGACAATGTTGTATAGTTTGTAAATTATCACTGATGTTGTAATAAAGTTCTAGTTATGACTCAAAGGTGGTTTTCTCGAGACTTTTGCGCAAAAATCGCATTTTTTGACCTCAAAGAGACCAATGAGTAATGTAATTGATGATGTGACAGGGAAGCGATTTCTCAAAAGGGAAAATTGATGGATCGCCCATTCACCCACGACATGTTACACTGCTCATCGAAAAATGAAGATGTTTTATTTATAAATTGTTATTGTAAATTACAGTAGCCCTTGCGAAAGGATGATGAAAATGGGATGGGCAGCTGTTTTCTTGGCTCTCACTTACGGTATCTCTTTTTACAATTTTAGATATAAAATCTTCATTTTATTACCGTATTTTATACGGTGAAAAATGTCGAATTTCCCAGAACAAGCAATTCCACTACAATTTCTCACGTAATACGGGATAATTGTATTCGAATACAATGTAATTTGCCAACAAGACAGCGGGGATTGTGACAATTTTCCAGCCACTTCATTATTTCTTCAACACATTTCGAAATTTCGTTGTCAAATTTAGTTTTTTTTTAAAGGTTTCATAGGTCAACCTTTGCATAGCAGCTAACAAGTAGTCGTATATTGTATACGGCATCATATACCATCTTAACAGACCGTATGAAGCTTTTTGCTGACAGAAAAGATACATTTTTGGCCAGTTTTCTGATACAGGGTGGGCCACTCGAAACGGGTAAGTTTTTTCGTTGGATTTCTCCGCGGCAACTCCACCGATTTTCCTAAAACTTAGATTTTTCTGGAGCTGAGACCCGCCATTTTCAACAGATTGACTTTTTTTATGCCTTCCCAAAATTTTCAATCGACTTATTGAAAAGTTCACTCAAAAACTCAAAATTTTGAGTCTTCAAAACTTTGGGAAGGCATAAAAAAGTCAATTCAACAATATTTTTCTTGGAATTTAACCTGTTGAAAACGGCAGGTCTCAGCTCCAAAAAAATCTAAATTTTAGGAAAATCGGCGGAGTCTCCGCGGAGAAATCCAGAGAAAAAACTTACCCGTTTCGAGTGGCCCACCCTGTATCAGAAAACTGGCCAAAAATGTATATTTTTTGTCAGCATAAAGCTTCATACGGTCTGTTAAGATGGCATATGATGCCGTATACAATATACAAAACTTGTTAGCTGATAGGCAAACGTTGGCCTATGAAAACCTTAAAAAAACTAAATTTAACAGCAAAATTCTTCAAAATGTGTTGAAGAAATGACGAAATGGCTGGAAAATTTTAAAAAATTTTCTCAAAACTACTACTGACTACTTATAACCATCATTTCATGTCATTATTCGGCGAATAAAATAAAAATCTCGGTCGAAAAGCCGGTATTTTTCCATTATATTACACTTGACCCATCTGATCAAAAAAATAACAAAAACTTAAAAAATAGATATCGAATATGGATAAAAACAACTCTATATGCATCAAAAATTACATTCCATTCAACATACCGTTTATTTACAGCTTCACAACCTAAAAAATCCATACTTTTATACCTTCCACTAGACCAATCTTGTTCAATTTTTGAAGGTTTTCAACTCATCGCTGACTTTAAAGTTTGGCTCCACCGTCTCCAAGAGGTCTTCAATTGTGAGGTCTTCGCGGATTTCCACCAGTGTGAGTCCATTCACCGGGTCCACGTCGAAGACGGCCATTTCGGTGATGATTCGGTCGACCACGTTTTTCCCCGTCAACGGCAAGTTGCACTGCTTCAATATCTTTGGTTTCCCCTTGGCCAGATGCTCCATGGTGACGACTACGCGACTGCCGGGTGCGCCGACCAAGTCCATCGCGCCGCCCATTCCCTTCACCATCTTTCCGGGGATCATCCAATTCGCCAAATCGCCGAATTCGTTCACTTGGAGGGCGCCGAGCACAGTGAGATCAATGTGACCACTGAAAATAAGAAAAATGAGGGACAAGTGGATCTATCTATTCATAATTCCTTTGGCCAATACCAATAATATTACACTAGGCAAAAAATTTTCCAAAACCCCCTTTTTTCTGAAAAAAAATCTAGTTTTGGTCCTTTGGATTTATAAACCAGCCAACTACAAGTTTTATTTTCTGTTTTTAATTCAATTTGTATTGCTTTATTTTTTTCAATTTTGCACTGTGCAAAAACCCTGTTCGATTGCACGGTGCAACCTCTTTTTTGCACTAAAAAACGGACTGCACCGTGCGAAATTTTAATGTCATTGCACTGTGCGTGGAAAATTAAAAAAATATTTTTCCGATTGCACAGCGCATTCGAAAGTAATCGTGCTCATCGACTCTACTCTCTAATAAAACCAAAAAAAAATCAATTGCACATCAAAATTCTACAAAAACTCAAAAATTTTTCAAAAAAAATATTTTTTTGTGTTTTCAGACCACTTTCGACCGCTCAAAACTCTATATCAACAAAAATCCTCTTACCCTCTAACCATTGCGAAACTTTCGTCCGAGCCAAAGACAGCCGCTCCTTTCTGCAGAGTAATCGTTTCCTTGCCTGCATTGATGAGGTCCGGGTTTTCTTCGCCTTTCTCCGGATACGGCCCCACTCCAATCACTCCATTTTCGCTTTGCAAATGAACGTTCACACCCTTGGGAAGGTAATTCGGGCATAAAGTGGGGATTCCAATCCCAAGGTTGACTAAAAAATCGAAATTTTTTAGAAAAACCGAAAAAAATCCTAATTTTTTTTTTCAAAAAATCTCGAAAAATCCATTCGATATCGAATATCCAAATAGTCCCAAAAGAAACTAGATGTCATGGACTCACCATACATTCCATTCTTGAACTCCTTGGCCGCTATTTTCGCGATGATTTGACGCGTTTTCTCGGCCGCCGACTTGGGCTCACTCTCTTTGGCGGAACTGTCGCGAAGAGTCAATCTCTCAATTCTTTTTTCGTACTTCTCTCCCTTGATGATGCGCTGAACATAAACTGAGGGAACGTGCACTTCGTGAGGTTGAATTTCGCCGGGTTCGACCAGTTCTTCCGCCTCGACGATCGTGATTTTCCCCGCCTTCGCCATTGGGATGTTGAAATTTCCGGTTGTGTAACTGAAAAGAGGCTTTTATTTTGAATTAAATACGCTTTTACATCTACGTCTAATCATTTTATGCCATTTTGGATCCATTTCAGAAAGATTCAAGTCTTCGTGGCGGGACCCAAATTTTTTTTAAACGGTGGAGAAGACGATCTCCATTAAAATATGCCGCTATTATACACATTCTACCCACTTTCTCGACTTTTAAAGCGATTTTTAGAAAAAATCAAGTTTTCGTGGTGAGACACAAAAATAAAAAGAAAACTCGGAAAAATCGCAAAATAAACTGCCCATAGTCCTACGAGCTCCCACCAACCCTCAAAACATCATTTCCACCCCAATGCCTCAGGTAAAATTTCACTTCCTTACCGAAAAGCCAAATTTCCCAACGTATCAGCCTTCCAAGCTTTTATGAGCGCAAAATCTCCGGTAATTGCCTCTTCCAGCACGTAATTCACATCGTTGATGGTCCTGGTCTCCTTCCCACTGCTCGCCAGCTCAATCTCTCCCTTCTTTTGCTTGCTGTATCTGATCGGAGCGCCTCCCTCCTGAATCAATGTCCCATATCCGGTGGGTGTGAAAAAGGCCGGCACTCCCGCTCCGCCAGCGCGAATCCTCTCCGCCAACGTGCCCTGCGGCGTGAACTCGAGCTCCAGTTCGCCGGACAGGTATTGGCGCTCGAATTCCTTGTTCTCCCCGACATACGAGGCGATCATCTTCTTGACTTGGCCGGTCCGAAGCAGTTTGCCCAGTCCGACGTCGTCAATACCCGCGTTATTGCTCACACAGATCAGGCCCTTGACTCCGGTCTTGGTGAGAGCGTTGATTAGGTTTTCCGGGATCCCACAGAGACCAAATCCTGGAAAATGTGGGATTTTAGCGAAAGATTTGCAAAAAATCTCAAAATTTGGGTAACATCCGGATACAATATGCTCGGAGACGCATCTAAATTCAAGAACAAAAAAAGAGAAAAAAGACTAACCTCCAACCAACAACTTTGAGCCATCCTCAATGTCCTTTACGGCCTCCAACGCATTCGGATATACCTTTTTTGATGAATAAAGTCGGCGACCAAGGAAAAGATGGCTCTAAAATAAAAATAAAATGATAATCAGACCTGAAAATCTGGATCGTTAACAAAAAATAGCTAAATTACTGAAAATAATTAAAAGAGTTTCGAGATTTCTATCTAATCCCCAGTGTAATATAAAAATAGACAAAATTATTCTTTAAACTCAAGGAAAGCAGCGATACAAGCTGTAAAATGCATCGATGAATCCTGCAACAGCTTTTTAGCAGAAAATCGAACTCAATTTTGACCAAAAGGTGTTTATCAAGTACAACATCGGCAAGTTCAAATAATTCGATCCTTCACCTCAATTATGACCTAAACGCAAAACAGAAGGCTAAATCCTCACCTTGGAACCATTTCTCACAACCAGAGCCAAATTCATTCGTCTGATCACCATGTTTTCTTCGTCTTCGCATTCAACGGGGAAAAATTAATGTCCGCCGGAGGTATTTTGATATAAATAGCGGACAAACAACGTGTTGAATGTTCTGTAATCGACAAGCGACCGAAAACTTTTGATAAACCAGCCGTTCAGAGGTTCTAACAACAAAACAATAATAAAAAAAATTATTTTCGTAAAAAAGTCAGACTTGACATTTTGGGTCAAGTGTTCCGCTGGGTCCTAAACTCAGGGGTGCACGTCAATCCAGCGCATTTCCTGAACCGTTTCGAAACTTCGTACCGTTTTCATTGGTTTAAAAGAGAGACGAAATGTCGCGAAATTATCGGCACTTTTTCTCGCCCGAAATAATTGTTTTTTTCTCGAAAAGGAAGAAGAAAGATAAGAAAATGCGTTTTATCGGATTTTGAACGAATCACCAAAAAAGGGGCGGGAAATTTTTTCTTCTATTTTGGATTGACGTGGGGTGGTCAGTGGGCCGGCTCAAAAATGGAAAATTACAAACGGGCCGGGCCCGTCACGGCCCGGGCCGGGCCGCGGGCCTGGGGTTTTTTCCGGCCCGGCCCGTCTAAATTACAATGCCAAACCGTTGGCATTCATTGTTTTCGCGCCGGGAAAATTAATTGATGTTGTTATAGTTGCTGTTTCTCAAGTTCTAAAACGTTTACAAGTCTATAGTTCCATTATAAAACCACAAAACTATCACATTGATCCTTTACTAGCTATATCAACGCCTTTTTTGCCTAAGTTTAGATCCCAAGCTTGGGCGCAGTTCGCAGAACCCTCTATAAACGGGCCTGCACGGGCCGGGCCGGGCCAGGCCCGTCACGGGCCGGGCCTGGAAAAAGACTAGACGGGCCGGTAATTAGACGGGCCGGGCCGCGGGCCGAAAATCGGAAAAATAGGGTCCGCTGACCACCCCTGCCTAAACTGCTCCAGAATCCTCGGATCGGATGTTTTACAAGTTGAGAAGCACAAAATAAAATTCCTTATCCATTTTTACACCAAAAAAATGACGACTTCATTTACTTATTAAACATTTATTCGAATATTATAGGAAGGTTTATATAACTGACTTGAAATTGAAAGAAAAATGGTAGTAATAGCAAATATGGCACTTAAATTAGGTGAATAAATAACCAATAAGAATCCCCGTAGATCATCGATACCAAAGCAGGCCGTATTTCTCAATCTTAACCGAAAAATTTCTCAAAAATTCCAAAAAGTTCAAATTTTCCGATATTTTTGGTAAAAACTCGAAACAAACGCCTATGGTTCACCACAAAACAACACGTAATTGCTGGGAGAGTACCTCATATACAATGTACAACAAGATTATTTGCGTTTCTCGTCCTTCTTCCCCGCTTTTTGGGGCTGTTTCGGCTTTCGGCGGCCGGGTTTCGGGCCTTGGCCATTCGGTGGGCCCGGAATGTTCAATGGGATGGTGGAAGTTGGTGGCGCCGGGGGTGGTGGGGCTCCGGGGAGGGCGACCGGCTTCGGGACGGGTGAGGTATGGCGGTTGGCAGTGGGCGGGGTAGAGGTCGGTGGGGCTGTGGGGGTGGGGAGGGCGGCCGACGGATCGGTGGCCGAGTACGGCGGTGGTGGTTCCTGGAAAAAATGTGAATCAGTCGTAAAATTAAAATTATAAAAACATATTTAATATCAAATCCCCAACTAAAATTCTGAAACTCAAAAAAAAATGAGACAGCACTGTGCAATGACTAAGAACCTCATTTTTATGCTTCAAAAAGGATGCAGAAAAAAATGGCTCCAAAAATCACACTCTTCTTCGCCAAAAAATCCATTCATGTCCACAAAATCCAAACTTTTTCCATTGCACCGTGCAAGAATTAAACATTCTTTTCCTGCACAGTGCAATGGATAAAAGTCAAGTTTTTGGCCTCTAAACACTCGACAAAAATATTTTTTCATTCCCAATCCTCTTTACTTCTCCTAAACGTTCTATTTCAACAATCAAACCCACCAATTTCTCTGTCCGCACAGTGCAATTTCAAAAAATATTTTCTCGCACTGTGCATTGACCAAAAATCCAATTTCTGGCCTCAAAAATGCCCGAAATGAAAATTTCTTTCCTTAAACACTCTCTCCATCCTCTATTCTCTCCATATAAATCCCCTAACCCATTCATTTCCACCTCTGCACAGCGCAAGATCAAAAAATTTCCCATGCACTGTGCAGTGACCAAAAATCCAATTTCTGGCCTCAAAAATGTTCGAATTGCAAATTTCTTTCTGTAAACACTCTCCTCATCCTCCATTCTCTCCATCTAAATCCCCTAACCTTTTCATCTCCACCTCTGCACAGTGCAAAATCAAAAAATTTCCCATGCACTGTGCAAAACCCCAAAAAATCTTCGAACCTACCGTAGCCGCGGGCGGTGGGATCAATGGTGGTGCGGTTAGGGTTGGAGGTACTCTGCTCTGTGCTTGACTGGTTTGTGGTTCCTGTCGCTGGTCTGAGCGATGTCTTCGCTGTCTATTTTGTCGATTTGAGGGGGCTGTCGTTCCCCTTGGCCGTTGTTGCCTTGCCGTTTCTTCCGCGACCGCATAGGCTCCATTTCTCGGCCTTCCTCTCCTCAACAACGTTCCCGGATGCCGGAGGGTGTCCGAAAAATGTTGAGCGGGCAGTTTGTTCGGATTGGTGGAGGGCGTATGCACAGCGCAGCACTTTACGAACAGCGCCATCACAAACAGGACCCCAATTCCGATCAAAATGCAGGCCCACCAGTTCTCGCGGCTCCATTGGGAGACGGTTTGGATGGTTTGCTTGTTGAACAAGAGGTTCTTCAGTCTTGCCAGAGGGCCATTCGCATCGACCGAGCGGCATTTCCGGAAGATATCACAATAACCCTTGTAATTGTTGCACGGGGATCCTGGATGCAGTAATAAGCCGGGCCGGCCTTCTCTGCTCTGTTGATGGAACACTCCGGCGGCAAATTCGGGGAGCTCAAGGGTCGAGACACATTCTGAAAAAAAATAAAAAATAAAAAAACAAAAATTTTTCAAAAAAATCATGAAAAATGCGAACAAAAAACAATGTAGGGCCCTCAAATTATTTCCATTTATTTCCTAATCAAATTCCCTCCAAAAATCTGCAAACATTCTTAAATTTTTTAAACTTATTTTCACTGCACTGTGCGATGTCTTTTTTGCACTAAAAATACGACTGCACAGTGCAGAACAAAAAAATTTGATTGCACTGTGCAGACAAGAAAAAATACTTTCTCTTCGCACGGTGCAAGAAAATTTTCGTTCTTTTTGCACAGTGCGAGCCCACTTTTAGTGGGAAAAATGGGCTGCACGGTGCGGAAAAAAGGACAATCATAAAAATTGCTAAAACTTCTCAAATTTTTCGAGGAATTCGAATGAAAAGCAACAAAAAAGAACTTCCAAAAACAAAACCTTGGTCTGTTCTTCTGTTTCAAACAATTTTCAAAATTTTTTTTTCAAAAAAATCGAAAAAATCCAAAAAATCACTTACTTCCATTCTTTTCACAAGCCAAGTGGCACAATTCATCCGGCTTCCCTTCGGTCAGGAAGCAATCTTTGAGGCCGACATGAGCACAAATGGAGCCATTGCAAGCGCCGGCATGGCAAACTTTGGTCGCGTCCTGGCACGGCAGACCGTCTCTTTTGGGTTTGCTGTCCGGGCACTCCGGCTGATAGCCGTTGCAAAACTGACTGTACAGACATTCCGACTCTTCGCGGCACTTTCGTTTCGCGACCGCCGAAAAGAATCCGCACGAAATCGGATCGCAGCACTGGCCCTCCGATGGCGAGCAACGGGCTTCGGGTTTGCGTTTGCAGGCGCCCGCAGAGAATACGCCTTCCCGTTCGTGGGGTTGGCAGCAGCGGTCGTTCATTTGTTTGCAGTCCAGGTCCGAGAAGCCGCAGTCGCATTCCTCGCCCGGCTCCTTGATCTGGTTGCCGCAGAAGGCCGAGGTTCGCTCCTGGAAGGAAAAAATAATACAGTATAATTACAGTATACTGGGACCTTCTGACATCACGGTGAGGGACCTGATCCAGTGGCAAAAAACGTGCCATTTCGCACCCGGGAAGCATCAAAAATGTGGCAAAATGCTTCCCCCTCCAAGTGAAAAAACTTCGTTTTGAACGGCCCTTTCCTTCATGAAAAGAACAGGCGCGATTTTGAAATCGGATTTTTTAACTTGGAGAGGGAGGTATTTTGCCACATTTTTTATACTTCCTGGATGCCAAATGGTACGTTTTTTGCCACTGGATCATCCCCCACTTTATATCTCCTATTTTAAGTCAACCTCATCAAAAAAAATATTTTCATTTTTTCGCACAGTGCAAATCAAAAAATTGCGCAAAAATGACTCTGCACCGTGCAAAAAAAGACAAAAATATTTTTCAAGCTGAAAATCCAGAGATAAAAAAGCGCTCAGACGCCTTTTTAATTTACTATTCTACTGCACTTTGCGAAAAATCCTGTGTTTTCCGATTGCACAGTGCGGTTTTGAAAAAAAACCAAAGTCTTCAGAAGCCTTTTGAATTTACTATTCTACCGGACCGCCCAAAACTTTACAATTTTTCCGACTGCACAGTGCGAAACTTCGCCTGTTCAAAAATGCAATGTGCAACGAAAAAAAATCGTTCGAAATCATAAAAACCAATAGTTTGAAGCCGTTGAAGCCATTCTAAACTGGTTTTAAACATCAGTTTCGTTCCTACTTCCCATAAGAATAAACTTTTTTTCCAGCGCACCGTGCAAATTCCACAAATATTTTCTAATCCGCACTGTGCATTCAAAACTCCTCCCCAACCGCTTCAAACCAACAAACCTGGAAGCAATTCCTCTTCTTGCTGCTCATCATCAAGTTTGAGAATGCCGGATTCACCGGCGGCTGCGACAAAACCTCATACAAGACCACACTCATATTGGCGATGGAGCACTTCGAAAACCGCGCATTGTTCGGCTTGTCGCCGGAGGTGGCCGACGAAAACATGATGTAATTTCCGTCAGGGAGACCGGGCTGACATTCCGATGGGTAATCGTGCGGCGAGCCAAAGTTGTGGCCGATTTCGTGGGCCAGAGTTAGCTGTGAGACGCGGGCCGGAACTCGGTTGCCGTAGTTGACCAGAGTGACGATTCCAGTGTTCAAGGAGCGAGAGACCATTCCTCGAGAGCCTTCGTTGTATTTCTGGTAGATTTGACAAATCCCACCGGCAGTATCTGCAAAAAAATGTTTTTTCGACATTTTTATTGCACTGTGCAAAAACTAAAAGCTGAAAATCTCCTCTAGATCAAAATTTCTTTTCGGAAATTGTCTCAACAGCTCCTCATAGGCTCCATTAAGCCAAATTCTCTCTAAAAATCAAACAAAAATATCAAAATCTTACTGTAATTGGGGCTGGCGACCCAAGCCAAGCCCAAAGTTCCGCCGATGAAATCTCTGAAAGTTAGAGCGTATGCCAAACAAAATGAAGAGTGATTTCGTTGGGAATTCAAGTTCAGATAGTTGGATACGTCCACATTGTCGGCGCAGAATGGGTTGTCCGAATTTTCGGTGGGCTTTCCGCCGGAACAGGTCTCATTGGTGTAAATCTGAAAAAAATGATTGTAAAATACGATCAAGCACATGTATTCAAAATTTCTATTGCATTTTACAGCTAAATACATCTAAATTTTTCCTAAAATACGGATTTCTCAAAAAAATTTTTTTTTTCAAAAAATCACAAATGATTGTAAAATACGATCAGGCACATATATTACAAATCTATATAGCATTTACAGCTAAATACATCTAAATTTTTCCTAAAATACGAATTAAAAAAAAATTTCCAAAAAACCAAAATCGTATTTTAGCGCAAAAAATCATAAAAACACCTTCCATAAGCCCCAAAACTCACAGTAGTTCGCTGGATGACAAAATTCAGCCCAGTAATTCCACCAAAATTCGTATTTTCGTAGATATGATTCACAGCTTTGATATGATTATAAAATAATGATACGATCTCCTCTCGGGTTCGGATTGGGTCATGGTTCCCTTCCTTGTGGAACACATGCACATACAACTTCTGATCCGCCTGCATGTAAATTGAGCATGTTCGGACGGAGTAAATTTTGCGGCCATTTACTTCCAGAATTCGCTCGGGAAGTGATCTTTTGGTGCGGTTATTGAGGCTGAAAAAGGGTGGAAATAATTTTACATCAAGCCAAAATAAGAGTCAGTCCTTCATCCTTCTTATTTTACTCAATCAAACCACAAAACTTGACCAAAACTCCACATATGTGCCTAAAACAATATAAATCCAAAAATTTCTCCCCGAAACTCTGCGATAAATCCCTTCCTTACCGATCATCCATCAAGTCAAAGCTCAGATGAGATTTCCTTCTAATTGTTTCGTTATATTCATTCACCGGTTCGAACTTGTACGCGGCCGAAGTTTGTATCTTCATCATCGCGGCTTTGGTCTCGGAATTCAATCCACACCCGTGATCGGCTAAAAATATTCTCGGTAGAGTAAACCAACTCCATTTGCTTTCAATTTAACCTAAAAACCAAACAAAGAACAGTAAAATCTTACCATCTCCATCTGAATCATGATCATGCCCATCTTTACTCTCATGCTCTTCCGGAACGTCTCGTTTTGGCCGAAATTTGTTGTGATTGATCTGTTCGTCCTTGTAGATGATCGAGTGATAGTTTTCGGGCCTCGAATCGACATCGAAATATCTGGCCGCCTTCTCAACCGTAAACGTCTCTCCGTTGCCAAGAATAATATGGCCATCAAAGAGTCCGTCCAGCAGAGAACCAAAGACTTTTGAGCGTGGATCACCGACAACATGACCCTCGTACAGAAATTGCGCCGGTCGAATCAAATGCGATTGATATTCTCCATTTACGTCGAGAAAATGGTCATCCGAGAAGATATCATTGGAATTTTCAGAGATCGGGTATAATTTCAAATGGAATAGCCTGAAATTTTATATAATTAGAAGGCCCAATTACTAATCCAGCCTCTGACAACCAAATTCTACAAAAAAATCTTTGTTTCAAAAGAAAAATCAATTTTTTCCATCGATTTATCAAGAAATCCAATAATTTTGGGAAAAAACCAAAAATATTTCAATTTTTTCAAACACCCTAAGGGACTTTGTTGTCTCAGAAGCCTGAGGATTCCTACACAATCTTTCTAAACCATTCCAGACTAAATTGAATCAATACTTTACAGAAAACCATCAAATTTTTCAGGAACAACATTCGAAATCGAAGACATTTGGAAAAAAACTCGTTTCTTAAAAATTTGAAGGAACTCGGTGTATATCTTAGTTTACCTAGCAGCCAGAGACCTTATTCTAAATTTCAGACACAAAAATTGCAAAGAACATACCTGTTGTGACTCTTAAATCTGATCGAATGAGATCCGTCGGTATCTCGTTTCCTCCGGTCCAAGATCGGTCTGTAGCTCAACGTCTCAAAGTCGTCCACGTACTTGTTCAACGCCACAGCTAAACGACTTGATTACCAAGCAGAAAAGCGAAAAATTCAAGAATAATATCGAAAAAACTCACCATTCTGCAACAAACTTAGTGCGACCACTAAAAAAACGACATTTTTGGACATTTTGAGGCAAGAAACGGCCTGGAAGGCCGGCAGTGTCGCGCCGCTAATGCTACCCGAATTTTGAAAGACCCTGAAAATGCGGAAATAAATCAATTTGCCCATAAAATTCGCGAAATTCCCGTCAAAACTCGATGTTATCCATGGCAGTTCAGGTGGAAACGCGAAATTCCAATGAAAATCGAATAAAGTCTGGGATGGAGTAATGAGATTTAGTGGGCGGACGAAGTGGAGTGGACAATGCCTCGGAATTGGCAAAAAAGAGAAAAATCTCGCGCACGCGTTGAGACGGAATGCCAAGAGCCGCGAATTTCGCGGGAAAATCGGAAATTTGAAAATATTTTCGAAAAAAACGTTGGAAACTGACAGGAATTGTGTTGGAAAAGGTGGAATTTAGAGTGAAAATTATAATGGAGACATTTTTTTGCCATCTGGAGGGGTTTTCGGCGATCAAAAAGAAAGATAAACAAAAAAATGTTGATTTTAGCGGGAAAATTCGAAATTTGAAAGTGCAAAAGGATAAACTAAAGCGATCAAAAACTCACAAATGATGTACTGACCATAATCAACGTACTAATGTTAATTTACAGCCTTAAATTTGACAAAAATAACTCAAAGTCGCAAAAATTTCAAAAAAATCGTCATTTCCTCTAAACTTTTGCTAATTTCCGTAGTGATAAATTGCAAAATTAAAGAGCGAATCGTATGAAAAACATTTCGTATACATTTTGAGTAGTATTCCGCAAAAAAATTTGAGGGGAAATCCGCTTTTGTCAAAACGCCGAATTCCCGCGGGGAAAATGAATTCCACAGCCTGAACGGAACGTCATTCTGACATCCAGAGTAATTGAGGACATTCATAGTCTTAGACAGAGGATTTCTGTGCATTTTGAGATAGCATTTCGGATAAAAATTTGGGTTTAATTTGTGCCTAAAATAAGGTAATTTTTGCGAGAAGTGGAAGAAAAATGATGATAAATGGAGGTATGAACCAATTTAAGTTTAATTAAATTCATTTTCACACAATTTCCATATACAAACACCTACTATTTTCAAAAGAATCATCAAAAAAAATTTTCGAAAATTGACTAAAAATCCAAAAAAAAAAAAATACCAAAAAACTAGTCTGAAAGCAAGTTCGAATCCAAAATTCTTGCTCGAAAAGTCAACTCGACATCCCGAACGCCCAAAACGCACGAGATTGGCGCGAAAAATGACTCATCGTCCGCAAAAATGGAGCGTTATCCACATTCAGTGAAGGTTAATGTCGGTTAAATGGATCGAAACGCGGTTTTGAGGTCATGTGCGGCTAAGCCGGTGCGGCTCGAGACTCCGGAAATTACGAAAAAGGAGACTGGAGGTTTTTATGAAAAGTTTAAAAAGTAAAATTTTTGAGAAAAAAGTTTACAACGTCGATTTTGTAGTAATAAAAGGGTCGAAAAAGCGATAAAAATCAAGGAAACGACGACACAGTCAACAATTTTATAGGGTATTTCGAAAATCCGATTTTTTTTTTACTTTTTGCACTGTGCATTCAAAAATTTCGCACCGTGCAAAAAAATAAAAAATTTTTATTGCACAGTGCGCTCTCAAAGTTCCAATGGAAATTTCGCACAGTGCAAGGAAACCAAAAACTCAAAAACTTTATTGCACAGTGCGACGTTTATCGCGAATGCACGGTGCGAAAGAAGGCAAAAGGTCATTTGCACAGTGCAATCATTTTTTCATTTGCACCGTGCAAAATGTTTGCCTGCACAGTGCGACGTTTATCGCGAATGCACCGTGCGAAAGAAGCCAAAAGGTCATTTGCACAGTGCAATCATTTTTTCATTTGCACTGTGCAAAATGTTTGCCCGCACAGTGCAAGGTTTATCGCGAATGCACAGTGCGAAAGATGGCAACTGTATTGCACAGTGCGCTCTCAAAGGTCCGATGGAAATTTCGCACAGTGCAAGGAAACCAAAAACTCAAAAACTTTATTGCACAGTGCGACGTTTATCGCGAATGCACGGTGCGAAAGAAGCCAAAAGGTCATTTGCACAGTGCAATCATTTTTTCATTTGCACTGTGCAAAATTCTCTTTCAGGAATTTTGCACAGTGCAAGAAACAAAAAAGTTTATCGCACAGTGCGCTCTCAAACTTCCATGCACGGTGCGAAAATGAAAGTCCATTTGCATAGTGCGGATTCTTCAAAAATTTTGCACGGTGCGAAAAATTTCAAAACCAAAAACCATGCTCTAGCTGACAAAGCTCGTTAAAGACAGTATTTCCCAGACAAAATATCGCCAAATGAACCCTTGGAATAACGAACGCCGGACCCCAAAGAAGATGTCTGTTTTACAATACGGGCGTAATAAAAGAAATCGGATCGAAAACGGGAAAAGGGGATGAAAACAAAGTTGGGGGAAAAAAGGATTGATCCGCTCTTACTACTTTTAGACGTCTGGAAGAGAGAGGCTTCTTCAGTAAAAGGATCGAGGAGAGGGTGACATTTTATACGAAAAATGGGGAAGAAAGAAAAAAAAGAAAAATTTTTTTAAAAAATGCAAGGTAAATTGGGAAAAATTTAGAGTAGAATTTTCTAATTCGAGAGAAAGATTCTTGACCAGCGGTTTGCAGAAATTATCGAGATTTTTTTAAATTAATTAAATTTTTTTTTTTTTTTTTGAGTTTTGCCACGAAAATTTGACAGTCCGTAGCAAATGTTGAGTAAAAAATTACCACAAAAAATCAATTTTTTCCACGTAAAATTAGCAACGATATAGCCGAAAAAAGTTTTTCTCTGACGCTCTCTTCAATTTCTGCGCTCTCTCGCGAAAAAATATTGTTCAATATTTCGGTTGCTTCTGTAAACAGCGAGCTAAAATTTTCAGGAATTAAAATACGATCTATAGAAAATATCTATACCAAGTTTGATGCAAATCCGATCGCGCTGCGTTGAGAAATGGACGCTTTAATTTTAAGACCATTGCACTGTGCAATTGAAAAATTAATTCCAGAACCATGGGAAAGGCGAGAAAGCGGGGTGTAGAGCGACGAGAATAGGACAAATGCGATGCAATTTTATCATTTGAATTTCAAATTTCGGAAATTTGAGAATTCCACAGCAAAAATTTTGAGTATTAGCAAAAAAAAAACATTTTTTCAATTTATAAAATACGAATTTGGCTACTATTCCTTAAACAGATATGAAAAAAACGTTCCCTAGTTTGTGTGCTACAAGGTATACACGGAATATCATCGCTTTTAAACTAGACGGGCCACTTTTTGGTCTCTCCAAGGACTTTTTTTACGAGAAATGTACATTTTTTTCGGTTTTTGTTCATTTAAACACGTGTCAGATTAACAATATAAAAGAAGGATTGTTTTCAGAAGTTTTCAGAGCGAAATTTAGCCTTTTTACAAAATAAAACGTTTTCGTGCCGGGACCGAAAAATTTTTCTGAATTGAAAAATTTGCCTTCTGCGTGGCAAACAACCAAAAAATTGTTATTTCTAGGCAATTTTCGGTGCGCAGAAATTTTTTTACCCGGGTTATATCGACTTTTTTATTCATAATACCTAAAATAAGGTCAAACTGAATTTTTTTCTGTTTTCCCACAATTTCCTATCTCTGGCCTTTCGAAGAATGGAATGAAATCACTTTTTCTCTCATTTTTCTTCTTCATTCAACTTTTTTCCGTCTGTCTCCATAAATTATCCCGGCCTTTTTTCCTTCAGATAGCCTAGAACAATGTCCGAGCCCATTCTCTACTCGTTTTGGCGAAGTTCCTCTGCATGGAGAGTGCGAATCGCATTGGAATTGAAGAAAGTCAAGTATCAGCAAGTACACATTCACCTTTTCAAAGAAGAACAAGTAAGTATACGAGTTTTGGAGACATGTTATACGATGGAAAGTTTTTTGCGTATAACATGTCGCCAACTAGAGCTAAAAGTTTGTACAATAGATATTGTGTTCTTAACGTCACCGGTTATGATATAAGAAGCCAATTTCGCGTGTATATCAACTAGGAACCCTATGGGGACATTTTATGCGATGAAAAGTTTCTTTCGTATAAAATGTCGCTAAGACGAGCTAAGACGTTCTGTTATAAATTTATTATATATTTTCAACAAACCATTGGCCATGACTTCACGAAGAGTAGGTCATTTTCTACTAGCAAGTGGCACTTTATACGATGAAAAATTTCTTTCGTATAAAATGTCACCCAAACGAGGTAATAGTTTTGCCACAAATTAATATTTTGTCGTCACGCTATTGGCCGTGTTTTCTCGAAAATTAGACCACTTTTCACAGGCAGAAGACATTTTATATGATAAAAAGTTTCCTTCGTATAAAATGTCATCCAAACGAGGTCACAGTTTTACCGCTAATTAATATTTTTTCATCACGCTATTGGCCGTGATTTCTCGAAAAATATTCCACCTTTTACCGAACGGTGACATTTTATACGGCCAAAAGTTTCATTCGTATAAAATGTCCCCATTTCTTTTCAGAACAACAAAAAGTACTTGGACTTGAACCCAGCCGGATTTGTCCCCCTTTTTGTCCACGATGGCCATGTCATCCCCGAATCTTTGGCCATTTTGGAGTACCTTGATGAGGTTTATCCGCAAGAGCCTAAACTAATCTATGGAGATGCCGCTCATAAAGCGCTCATCAGAAGCTTGGCGCTGATTGTAAGCTGGCATTCTTCGTTTTGTTTGACTAATAAAATTGCAAAAAAACCTTGTTTTAATTTTCAATTCTTCCCGAAATTCCTGTCAAAAAATCGTTTGTTTAGATTATAACCAATATCCAGCCATTTCAAACGTCTCGCGCTGTCAGCCAGCACTCAGCCGATCCAGTAAAACAGGATGAATTTCCCAAATTTTTCATCGAACGAGGCTTCGAGACGCTGGAGAAACGACTCCAAAAAACGGCGGGGAAATTTGCCGTGGGCGATAAATTGTCGCTGGTCGATGTTTGTATCCCTCCACAGGTCTATCAGAGTGCCAGGTAGTTAATTTGAAAAGTTTTCATTTTTTGATTTTTGCACGGTGCGGCCTGTTTTTTAGTGCAAAAATGCGGTTGCACAGTGCAGTGAGGATTATTTTTGTTGAAAATATGTGATTTTTGAATTTTTTTCAGCTGAAATGAATTTGAATTTTATTTAATTGGACTATGGAAATGATCAGGCCGATCTTTTTTTCTCAAAAAAAAAAAAAAATTATTTTTTTTTTCAGATTCAATGTTGACATGAACAAGTTCCCAATCATCAAACGTATCAACGAAGAGCTCAGTAAAATCCCAGAGTTTGTCAAAGCCGATGGTCTCCATCAACCAGACACTCCTGATGAGCTTAGACCCTGAGGGCAAAAGTTTTAAAAAATAAAAATTTTTTTGATGACAATATTTTTATCAGTTAATAAATATTATTTCTACAAGGTATTTTTTATTTTTTTGATCTTTTTTTTAGCATAAATCTACTGTGATTAAAAAATTTTCCGCACCGTGCAGTCAACTGTTTGATTTTTTCTTCGCACCGTGCAATCAAACTCAAATTTTGATTGCACAGTGCAAAAACAAAAAAATTTTTTTGTTGAATTTCTCTCTGAAATTGGTTGCCAACCAATGCAAAGCATCTGTAGACCTTTACTTTGCACCCGAACGCCCACAAACATCACAAGTTTTCTGCGATTTTGGTCATTTACAGCCACGTGTCGTCAAAAATTGTTTACAAACGGAAAATAAACAGAAAAAGCGGGTGTTTAAAAGGTCAGACAGACCTTTGCAAGGCTCTCAATCTGTCTGCTTTTCATTTTGTATCGCGCTTTTTATCGATTTTTGTCTTGCGATTGTCCAAGACAATGTCCGAACCCATTCTCTACTCTTATTGGCATAGTTCCTGCGCATGGAGGGTTCGAATCGCATTGGGATTGAAGAAAATAAAGTATCAGCAGGTCCATAAGGACCTCGTGAAGGATGAACAGGCGAGTTTACGAGTTTTGGAGACATCTTATACGCTGGGAAGTTTTTTGCGTATAAAATGTCGCCCGATAGAATTTCTGTTTCCGTTCTAAAACGTTCACTTTTAGTGGCTATTGGAAAATTTTCTCAGGCCCATTCTAATTCTTATTTGTCAATTTAAAAGCCCTGGCGACATTTTATACAACGCAAAGTTTTTTTGCGTATAAAATGTCAACCAATCAGGTTAGAACTTTTCGAAATACAGTAGAACGCTCTAAATACCAATAGCTATGATTAGTGTTAATAAAAACCGTTAGCTACTAAAAAGCGACAGTTTATACGCTGAAATAATTTTTTCGTATAAAATGTCCCCAACTTATTTCAATGTTCTTCAGTGTGAACAAAAGTATTTGGACCTGAATCCAGCTGGGTATGTGCCCGTTTTCATCCACAATGACCATGTCATTCCGGAATCTTTGGCCATTTTGGAGTACATCGATGAGGTCTACCCGCAAGAGCCTAAATTAATCTATGGAGATGCCGCCCAAAAAGCCCTCATCAGAAGTCTGGCATTGGTGGTAAGGGACTTTCTGCAATTTCGGATATTTTCAGACAATTTTCTATATGGCATTGTCAAAAAAATTTTTTATTTTTCGCCAAATTTCGCCGAAAAATCGCTTTTTTCAGATCATAACAAATATCCAGCCATTCCAAAACTTCCGTGTCACCTCCAAACATTCGGACGACCCAGTCAAACAACATGATTTTACCAAATTTTTCATCGAAAGAGGCTTCGAAACGCTAGAGAAAAGGCTCCAGAAAACAGCGGGGAAATTTGCCGTAGGCGATCAATTGTCGCTGGCCGATGTTTGCATCCCTCCTCAGGTTCATTGGGCAGGAAGGTGGGGAATTTTTAAAAAACATTTTTTTTTTTTGAAAAATTGAAAAAAAAAATATTTTTTAAATTGAAAAAATACTTTTTTTTTTAAAAAAAATGAAAAATATAATATATATATTTTTTTTAAATATTTTTTTGAATTTCTTTTTAATTTTTTTAAAAAATATCTTTTAGGCATCACGTGGATATGAGTCAATACCCGACAATTCAAAAAATCAACGACGAGTTGAGTAAAATCCCCGAATTCATCGCGGCCGATGAAAAACATCAACCAGATACGCCAGAAGAGAAAAAATACTGATTAAAAAAGGGTTTTTTCTGGAAATCTTTTTTATTTTTTTTACATTTTTTAAAACTTTTTTTGTAATAAACATTACTTTATTTTATTTTTTTATTTTTTTTTTTGAAAAATTCTGGAAAAAAATTTTTTTATTTGTTTTACATTTTTTTGATTTTGTTTTTTTAATAAACATTACTATTTTATTTTTTATTTTTTTGAAACAGTCTGGAAAATTTTTTTTTATCTGTTTAAAAAAAACTGATTAAAAAGGGTTTTTTCCGGAAATATTTTTTTATCTGTTTTACATTTTTTTTAATTTTACTATTTTATTTTTTATTTTTTTTTTTTTTGAAAAATTCTGAAAATATTTTTTTATCTGTTTTACATTTTTTTATTTTTTTGTAATAAACATTACTTTATTTTATTTTTTATTTTTTTGAAAAATTCTGAAAATTTGTTTTATCTGTTTTACGTATTTTTTTTCTTTTTTTTTAATATTTTATTTTTTTTATTTTTTTTAAAAAGAAATATTAAAAAAATCTTCAAAAACCCCCATAGTAATTTTAACGCCTCCCCCGGCCTTGATCCCCTCTCAACGCCCTTTATTTCCCTCACAAGGAAAGTACTTCTATGGGGTGTGGAGTTACAGGTCGAGATATATATCAAAAAATTCGCAAAAATTTTCTGATTCAGAATATATAAAAATTAGCTGCCTAATTTTGGTCTGATGACATGTTTTTGTCCTCAGAAATTTTCTCGCGACACCATGCAAGTGTCTTTTTGACCGTGTTTTTACCAATAAAAAATTTTTGTTTTGTGCTAAAATAAATTCTGAGGCCTTGACAAGCCTTAAAATATCAAATTGGATTACAACTACACCTTAGAAGTAGTTCCAATGTAAAAAATGGGTTCTAGTGTGGCAAAACGAATCGAACCCGTTCCCTTCGGATTCCCAATCTAGCGCTCTAACCACTCGGCCACACCGCTCTCTTCCGAAGGAAGAGACCGAGCGCGCTTTTGTTGCCGCAGATTTTTTCCTCGAGAAATACATTTATTGATAAAAATCGTTGATAGACCAAAATTAGGCAGCTAATTTTTATATATTCTGAATCAGAAAATTTTTGCGAATTTTTTGATATATATCTCGACCTGTAACTCCACACCCCATAGAAGTACTTTCCTTGTCAAAAAAATCCCATATTAGCCATTATTCCCTCCAAAAAACGTCCTCTAAAAACCCATCGTTTCTTCGAAAATCCCGTTCCAAAACGGCAGCACGAGATGGAACGATCGTCCAAAAAAGGCGAGAAGGATTGTAAACGCGACCTTTCGCGTATTTTTTTCTCTTCCACCCTTTCGTAATATTGCTTTTGGAAGGGAGTTTTACAAATGTTGCGTGGAAAAGAGCTGGGAAAAGGGTAGAAAATTAACACAGCGATTCTATGAGTACATCGAATTTTCGAGAATTTGGCTTTTCTTGAGAGATAAATATTCTAATTAATTTTCGCGATTTTTTGAAAAATATAATAATAATATTTTCGGTACGAAAAAAATAAAAAAAAAACACCAAAAAAATCCCTAATAAAATCGGAAAAATTATATTTTGATATTTTTGGAAAAAATTTTAAAAAATAAAAAACATCCCTAAAAAGTTGGAAAATAATTAAATTAATCTTTGCGATTTTTCGAAAAAAAATTAAAGAAGTTTTGGGCAAGAATTCGAAGTGAAAACCAGAAAAAATCAAAAAAAAACCCCTAAAAAATCGAAAAATAATTGAATTAATTTTTAAGATTTAAAAATGAAATGTTTTTTAAATAATCTTTGTCCAAGAACTCGAAGCGAAAACGAAAAAAGATTGATTAAAAAAATCTAAAAAACCCCTAAAAAGTCGAAAAATAATCAAATTGTTTTTTTTTCAGATTTTAAAAAAAAAAATTTTATTTTTAGTCTAAAAATTCAAAGAAAAAATCAAAAAACCCACAAAATAAATAAAAAAATTTTCCGACTCTCTCCAATATTCGAAAGCGAAACCCCATAAAGCCAATTACCAGGCTCATAATTTGCATGTGAAAACATCCCACGAACAAAAAATCAAGTTTTCCGAGCGCATTTGTCAAACAAATGGGATTTTTTGGTTGGGTATGTTAATGGGAGCAAAGCCTAAAAAATTTTTGCGAGGCCTGTCGCGTCAATTTTAGGGAAAATTAGATCTATTTTAAAGGCAAAAATCAATTTTTGCTTTTCCGTGCACAGCCCAAGCAAATTTTTTTAATTGTTTCGACCCGTACAGTCCGGGGATTTTTGAAAAAAAAATTTTTTTTGAATTTACAGATCGTTTTACGTAAATTTCAAGAATGTCAATTTCACTGTGCAAATTTTTTTTTTCAAATTGCACTACGCAATTTTTTTCTGAACCTGCACAGTGCAAAACATTTTTTCTAAAATTTGCATCATGCAAACATTGCCTTTAACCGCACAGTGCAAAAAATCTTTCTCAAAAAATTGCACACTGCAGAAAATTTGTTTTAAGATCTGCACTGCACAGTGCAAAAAATCGGTTTTCAAACCTGCACTGTGCAAAAAAAGTTTCTCAAAAATTTGCACAGTGCAAACAAAAAAAATCCCAGGAAAGAAACTACTAACCCGATTCCCAAACACGCAAAACAAATTGTTCTTACTCGGTAATCCAAAGTGCAATAAGGTTACTCTATGGAAGAAAATTCGTCTCTTCCCGACCTTACTTTAGTCTACCAGGCATTTAAGTGGGTAATCTAACCATTCTCGGGAGAAGACCTTGAGAAAAAAGAGCGCGAAAAATTACCTGCAGTGAACAAAAAAGAAATTTCGAAAACATTTTTTATATTTTGGAAATTTTTCGAGATTTTTTATTTTTTCGAGGTAAATAAAATAACGGAGAATTGACGAGAACAAAAATTCACGAGGAGAAAAGAAGAAGAATGGTCTGTAAAAATGATGTCTAAACTTTTTTTTACAAAAGGAAAAATTGAAAAATCATCGATATTATACTTGACATTTGTCTTCAAAAAAGGTCAAAAATCAATGTTTTTCAGTTGAAAAAAATCAAAATGGCATGGAGAAATATTGAAAGGTCATAAAATCAAAAAAAAATTTGTGAAATTTTGGAAAGGTGACATTTTATACGAAAAATTTGTTAAATCTCAAATTTGATTTTTTGACAAAAGTTGATGCTAAAGTAAGATAAAAATAGCTAGACAAAGCTCTTTGTGGCATAAACCATCAATTTCAAATATAAAAGTTTGAAAAATTCTCCATTAGATGTCTACTACAACATAATTTTTGTTCCGATCCTTCCCAGAACCCCTAAAACAATATATCTCCTGCTTTATAAAGGATTTCCTTTCACTTCTAACCCCATAATTTCAAAATTGTGTCATAAAACCAAATAATTTGCAAGAAAAAAGAGAAATGGATCAAAACTTCAGCTAATAATACCCTCAGGCAGTCTTTTCTAATGAATCAAATCAAGTGCGGCGAGAGGCGAAGACAAATACTGGTCGTAATGAAGAAGAAATGAAGAAGAAACAATGGGAGAAAAAAAAATTATTTTCATTTTTTTTTCATGTCTGCACTGTGCAGATTCTGAAAAAATTTTTGCACAGTGCAAAAGAAAAATTTTCGTGCGGGAAATAAATCTTTGTTGAAAAATCGAATTTCCAGTGGATGATAGAGACTGTGAGTGGTGTTTATAACGGGCTGAGTCATCAAATTTTTCGGCGATCTTCAGAAAAAAAAATTTTTTTTTTGAAAAAAATAAATATTTTATTTGAATTTTTTTTGAAAATTTAATTTGATATCTACAATATTTAGACCCTCATAACATCCAAAATGCAAAAAAAAATATTTTTCCACTAAAATTATTAAAGTTATTTATAAAATCCCCCCTCCCTTCGCCTCAAATTACCCTGTTTTCGCCTTCAAAGCACGTCTGTTTACTCGCACTGGTCGGTAAACAAAGATCTAGCGGTTATTAAGATTATTTCAGACGCTACCTCGCTGCTCCGCGGCGTTAGAAACGTTTGACGAGGGGAACGAAACGATTATTTATGATAAGACCGGGAAATTGAGGGGATAAAAAGTATAAAAGTGGAAAAATTTGGGAATTTTATGCATTTCAAAGCTCAAAATTTTGTACTGCACGGTGCGGTTAAAAATTTTTGACTGCACCGTGCGAAATTTCTATTTTTATTTCTGCACCGTACAGTCAAACTTTTTCACTGCACAGTGCAGGCAAAAATAAAATTGCACTGTGCGAAAGGTTGTCGCAAAAAAATGTTTGTTGCACAGTGCAGAATTTTCCATTGCACTGTGCAATTTCTCTATCGCTTGCTTGCACGGTGCAATCAGATTTTCCATTGCACAGTGCAGTCAAATGTGAAGTTTTGCACAGTGCAAAAGGTATGTCGCAACAAAAAAATTTCGCGGCACGGTGCGGCACAATTTTTCTCTGATCGCACAGTGCAATGAAAAATTTGCTTTCGCACAGTGCAAAAAACTTTTCCTCACGGTGCGGTCAAATTTTTGACTGCACTGTGCAGGCAAAAATAAAATTGCACTGTGCGAAAGGTTGTCGCAAAAAATTTTCGTTGCACAGTGCAGAATTTTCCATTGCACTGTGCAATTTCTCTATCGCTTGCTTGCACGGTGCAATCAGATTTTCCATTGCACAGTGCAGTCAAATGTGAAGTTTTGCACAGTGCAAAAGATATGTCGCAACAAAATAAATTCGCGGCACGGTGCGGTCAAAAAATTTTGAGTGCACCGTGCAAAGTCTTTATTTTTATTTTTGCACCGTGCGGTCAAACTTTTTCACTGCACAGTGCAAGCAAAAATAAAATTGCACTGTGCGAAAGGTTGTCGCAAAGAAATTTTCGTTGCACAGTGCAGTGGAAAATGCAAAAACTTTTCCGCACGGTGCGGTCAAACCTGTGTTTTTGCACCGTGCAAGAGCGAAAAAAAGTTGTCGAAAAAGTAGGAAAATTTGGCCCATTGAAAAACTAGTGCAAAAACGAACCCGTTTTCTTTCAATTTATCCAATTTTCCCCGCTTCAGGCTGATTAAATGGCCTAAAAAACGGCCGAAGAATGCGAGTTTTTGGGGGCCGAACGGGAAATAAATTAAGCGCCTGAGAAATGGTCCCAGGAACACTTTGGAAGAGTAATTTAGCGCCTTTCGACCAGTGTTTAATTTAAAAATTCAAAAAAACAAAAAAAGAAAAAAAAATTTTTAATTTTGAAATATTCTTTATGCTGATATAGCGTCGAAAAATCTCTGAAAACACACTTTAAACGTATTAAAAGCAGGTGTGTGAAGCCTGAAATACCGCATGGTCATCGGATTTCCAACAAAGCGGCATTATTCCCGCTCCGAAAAAACGATAATAAGCTCCCGGGGTAGGGAGAGAAAAGGGCACAGCCAGGTGTGGAGTTCATTTTTTATGCATCCGGTTGTTGGAAATCCAAAAAAAAATTTTTTTTCAAAAATTCCGAAAAAGGAAAAATTTAAAAAAATCAATGTTTAAGAGAAAAATGGAGATATTTCCCCAGGGCAAATTAGCTAAAAAAAACTTCAGAAGCCCTCCAATGCCTTTGGATCGTCTTTTACAAAAAAAATCGGGAAAAACCTGCAATTTTAAGGGAAAATCAGAATTTTGCCTGAGGGCAAGAGACGAAAAATAATTGCATATCCTTTTTATGAGACCACAGAGTGTGCAAAATAAGAATAATAAACTTTTTTCCTCAATGTATATTGGTTTAGACATGAAACTTCGAGTTTTTCAAAATCCCTCGGCCCGCCAAAAAATCCCAACCAGTCGATTATCTCCGAACCCACCGAAAAATCCCGTAATTTCTGGTCCCATCCCACCGAAAGGGCCATTTATCCGCTGCAAAAAAACCGAGGCAAAATTAAGGCCTTTTGGTCACTAAAGCGCGACGAAAAAAGAGCGCCAGAAACGAGGAGACGCACAGAAGGGAGGGCGAAAAAGGCCAGTATAAGGTCGGGAAGAGAGCACTTGTTCGAGGGGTCACTTCGCCTTCAACTTTCACACAAAAGAAAGTCGAGAAAGAGGGGATAAATAATGGGAAACAACGAGAGGGAGACAATTTTCGGGAGTTGCGGCAAAAACCAGGTGGGATTTCGGTATTATTTTTGGTTAATGAGGTCCGTTGGGTGGTCTAAAAAAATATTATGACCAATCTAGCGATGTTGGCGATGTTTTCCGCGGAAATTTTGAATTTGAAAATATGGTGACATTAATGTCTAGAACAAGGTAAAAATATAAAATTTTGGTCGATTTTGCTAACTAAATTAAATGCATTTAATTAAGTTAGCAGAATACGCTGTGGGCTACCGGAAAACATCAAGGTAAGCACAAACAGCACTCAAATATCTTGTATTTACTCCAAAAATCGAAAATACGCATGAAATTTTCAAAAAATCCCGGTTTTGGAAGCAAAAACAAAGTCAGCAAGTGTTGAAATCACGCAACATAATAGATTAAGGACCGAAGACCTTCATAAAAACAAGGATTATTACCTTTCCTCAGGGCAAACCGAAAATTTTGCATTTTTCTCCACCTCCCAAGCCCCCGAAGACCCTCTGCAATGGGAGCCCGAAAATCCGTATAAGAAATATAGCCTTCATGAATATAACATCAAAATTAAACCCCCGATGTCTCCGCTTTTGTTCTCGCGGCAAGAGAGGCTGCTCGATGCAAAAATTGAAAGAGAAATACGCAAATCTTGGCTCGCCGAAACGAAAATTTAATTAAAACTCAAGAGAATAAAAGACCTCGCGAAAATCTTGAATGTTGAATAAGAAGCCTCATATAGATTCGTTATCGTTTTCAACCCTAAAATAGATAATTTTGCCATTTTTGCCCCGGGGCATTTAGGGAAAATCAAGATTTTTTTAGTAAAAAATGGGAAATTTGAGAAAAATTGCATGTTTTGCAACAATACAAACGAAAGACACGATTACATTCGGTGTAAATATGGCTACATTTATTATAAAAATAATAGAAAATCAAAAGAAAAACTTTTGGGCTGAGCCGGGGATCGATCCCGGGACCTCTCGCACCCTAAGCGAGAATCATACCACTAGACCACTCAGCCACGCTTCGCCATGCTCTTCTAATCGGTAGAGAAGAAAGTGGGCGTGGCTAAAAGGTGTTTGAAAAGATAAAATAAGTGTGCAAAAACGTCGTCATTATGACAGAATAAATTTAAAAAATTTTTTACCTTCATTTTTTTGTAACTGCCCGAAAAATTTTACATAATTTTTTGAGTTTTATAAAAGTTTGTGAAAAAATTAAATACCCCTGTCATGATGACACATTTATTGGAAAAGGTTAAACAAACTCTTTTTGATTTGTATAGTTTGACGGATGGAGAGAGAAACAAGTCTTTTCTCACTTCACGGGACATTCCAGGACGCGCTTTTCCAATAACAAGCGCCGAAAAAGTTTTTTTTGGAAGAAAATGGACAAAGCCCACGGTTTTTCGATATCTCCTTTATTCGCCTGGACCGAAAATTGATGTGCATTTCATTTCTGGCCATATTTTACATAAAAAAAAGAAAATAAAATTGCATTTACTTTCGAAAATTTTTGTCCAGAATATGCAACGTGAAGGTAAAATTTGGCTTTAGACGGCGAAAAAATAGGATTTCAGATCTTGGCCTTTCGTTTTTGGATCGATTTGGCCATAAATTCGGCCATTTCAGGGTCTTTGGCGCGCTGAATCAGGGCTTTCACCTCCTCAACGTGCGTATTTCTCCATTGAGGGCGGAGGTCGCGAACCATCAATTCTTTCACGGCCAGAACTGACTGAAAATCGTAAAAATAGGGTAAGATTACGAGCAAAAAACACATTAAAAATTTTATGAACAAAATTAATTTTTTTTTTTTTTTTTTTTTTTTGAATTTCGAGATTTTCTTCAAAGAATTAGTTGATTTTTACTCCAAAAATTACAAAAAAATTAATTTATGGCAATCTTTTAGCGTTTTGCACAGTGCAAAAAATTTTAAAAATTTCCCACCGTGCACTCTCAAAAATTTTTTTTGCACTGTGCAGACGAGTAAAAAATTGCACTGCGCAAAAAAAATAAGAATAACACACCACAAAAAAACGATCCGAAACTTACCCCTGGCGCCAAGGTGGTCAAATATTTCAAATATTTTTCGCACTCCTCCTTGAAATTGGCCTCGGGATAAACGTGCGAGATCAGTCCGGCCTCGTGCGCCTCCTTGGCCGACAATTTTTCGGAGAAGATCAAGTGCTTGGCGGCTTTGATGCGACCCATTGTGTGGACCCAATTGGTGGACGAAGTTCCTTCGGCCAACAAGCCCAGCTGGGTGAAGGGGAGGAGGAAGTATGCCTAAAGAAATGGAACTTTTATCTCACAAAATTTTTGGTTTATTGCACCGTACAAAAGAAACTTTTTGTGAGTTGCACAGCGCGAAAAAATTTTTGTGACTGCACTGTGCGAAAGGCAAATTTTGTGACTGCACTGTGCGAAAAAAGTATATAACTGCACTGTGCGAAAGACAAATTTTGTGCCTGCACTGTGCGAAAAAAATTGATAACTGCACTGTGCGAAAAAATTTTGTGACTGCACTGTGCGAAAGACAAATTTTGTGCCTGCACTGTGCGAAAAAAGTTTATAACTGCACTGTGCGAACGACAAATTTTGTGACTGCACTGTGCAAGAAACTAATTTTGTGACTGCACAGTGCTAACGACAAATTTTGTGATTGCACTGTGCTAACGACAAATTTTGTGATTGCACTGTGCGAAAGACAAATTTTGTGACTGCACTGTGCAAGAAACTAATTTTGTGACTGCACTGTGCGAAGGAGAAATTTTGTGACTGCACTGTGCAAGAAACTAATTTTGTGACTGCACTGTGCAAGAAACTAATTTTGTGACTGCACTGTGCAAAAAAAATTTATAACTGCACTGTGCGAAAGGCAAATTTTGTGACTGCACTGTGCGAAAAAAAATTGTAACTGCACTGTGCTAAACTTTTTTGATTTTTTTCACTGTGCAGCGACTCAAAAAACCTTTTAAATATTGAAAGAAATTGTCGTAAAAAATCACCTTCTCAGTCGCCAAAACTAAATCGAACAGTCCCAAAATTGTGGCGGCAATTCCGATAGCCGGTCCATTCAGCAGAGCGATTGCAATTTTCTTGTGCTCAATGAGTTCCGAGGCGGTCTCAATGTACTTCGGAGTGGCGTCGGAGACGCTGAAAATCGAATTTTAAACCAAAGAATCATAAACATTTTTCGCATGTTAAAATTTCTCACTTTCTAACTTGTTTTGCCGTCAGTTCTGTGCCAGCACTGAAGAAATCGCCGGCTCCTGCAAAATTCAATATGTTGTTTTGGAGTAAAACGTGATTTTCTTACCGGTAAGGACAGTAAAAATGATTTCGTCATCAGAATTTATTTGGCGCAGAAGTTTTGGGAGGGCGTCGTAGAGCTGAAAACCTTTTTTTAATGAAGTTTTGAAGCCTAAACGAGCAGCGCTAGGTTCTGATTGATTTTGATGAAAATTGGCATAAGGTTCGACTAATTTGTTCTAGAACACGTGCGAGATTTCGAGTTCGTTCTTCGTAGAAAAGACCGAGATTTTTAGCTCAAAATTTAGAAAGTTGTGACGTTTTTTGCGGTTTATTATACAAAGTTTCATCCTTATTCCTACTATAGAGCGCAACATTTTTCCACAAAAAGATCAACGTTTTCCTTAAAAAGTCCCAATTTTCGAAACCAATTTCCTCTCACTCACCTCGTCATTAATCGCGTTTTTCTTGGCCGGCCGATTCAGAGTGATGTAGAAGAAAGGTGGCTCTCGTCTAGTGATCAGTTCCGGCATTATTACAGAGTAACGCGACAAACAAAATCAACGTTCTTCCAGGTACAATCAACAGCGAAACAATCAAGAGAAACGGAAACCTTGATCGCTTTTGAGGACTACAAATCTCGTAGCAAGTGGGGAAAAAAACAAACGTTGGGCTTTGCGTATGCTTTTCCAAACGTCAACACAGATATGTTTAGCAGAAGGAAACATATTACAATTATTGTAGTTTGGCGCACAGAGCCAAAAAAATGAGGTGATATGGGATACCAGGCCTCGCTACGGAAGTGTACAAATTGACCATCATCAAATGGCAAGTGTCCGGTCTGAAAGTCAAAGCAGTTATTATAACGTATCAAAGACCAAAAGTTGCGGCAAAAAACGAAGATCCGTAACATCTATCTAGGTATTATTGATGCGAGCACATGTAAAATGCCTGAAAATAGGTGATACGCTATCAGGACCGATCAATCTAACTATTTCTACTAACTAAGCCTTCCTTTCCCTAGCCTCCTCCATGCGTAAAACGACGAACCAAGGCTATCCATATATCGTTGAACCGAACTGTCGCTGGCCCGAAAAGTCGCACGGCAACCCAAAATAGAACAAAAATGTCTCCCGCCCACTTTTGAGTTTCGTCCAAACGAAGTGTCAAAATTGGCAAAAGAAATAAAATAATTTCGAGAAAAATGTTTTTTGGTCGGAAACCCGCACGAAAAATTCATTTTTGACATTTCGTTTGAATTCAACCGAGACTAGGTGGGCGAAGTGCCGAAACGAGGCGGGAGACTCCCTGGGTTGCCGTGAGTCGTAGCGCCAAAGTCCGGGCTATTTCCGGCCAGGCCGGAAAATTTCGTAAGCCCCGACCCGGAGTCATGCCTAACTAGGGAACTGTAAAAACTGACTATCGCCAAACTTTAAGCGATATACACCGTTACAAAGCCCTTGAAAAGTAGTTCTAGTCTCAATTCTTGCAGAATGCCTCCGGGCGGAAAATTAAGAGAGAAAGAAATAGTTTGCGAATGGCCGAAGAGTATACAGTACATTCAGAATACTAGGCGGGCCAAAAAGTCTTGACATGTTTTCGCACCGTGCGGGCGCATGAATCCAGTGTCGCGACGAGGTGTCGCGCGATAAAACCTTTGGCGGGGTGCGAATGAAGAACGCACTGTGCGTTGTTTACCCTTTTCAAAACAATCTTTTTGCACTGTGCGGTGTCGCATTGCACCGTGAATTTTTCTTGTCGCCGCGCGACAAATTTCATGCACGACGGCGCACTGTGCAGACATGTCAAGACTTTTTGGCCCGCCTAGTACCTGACATTTTTAAAACGCAAAAAAATTTGATTTATTTCCAAAATAAATAATATTTTACTCCAGAATCATGGGTTCGGAGCCACTATTTGTTGCCCCGGCTGGGTTTCTGGCTCGACTTTTTTGTCCTCCGAGCCTTTTAGGCTCGGTCTTCTTCTCGTCTAACTTCGCAGATTCGGCTTTCTCTTCTTCTGGTTTTGTAGATTCGGCCTTCTCTTCTTCTGGCTTCGTAGGCTCCTCCGTAGAATGGGCCTTCTTCTCTTCTCGCTTCGTATTTTCGGCTTTCTTCTCTTCTCGCTTCGTATTTTCGGCTTTCTTTTCTTCTGGCTTCGTAGATTCGGCCTTCTTGGATACCGCCTTCCTTGCTCCGGCCTTCCTTGAAACGACCCTCTTTTCTTGCGGCTTCACAAGCTCGGCCTTGTTCTCTTCTGGCTTCATTGGTTCGTCACGAGTCCCTGCTTCCGATTCCGTCATGGTCGACTTTATCTCGGATTTCACGCCGACCTCCGTGGCCACTGACTCGCCTTTGGTCGTCTCTTCTGGAGGAACGTCCCACCACGGATCCATGTAACTGAACTGGAACTTTATTTGGAGCTGAAAACAAAAAAAAATTAATAAAAAATAATCTCAACATTCCAAATTTTAATCAAAAAGACTCACCTCATCCAAGGTCTTCTTGACCGCGTTCATATCGATCGTGTCGCCCGGAGGCTTGTTCCAAATCAATTCCCTGAGCGTTCCAATGATTTCGCGGTCCTCAAAATCAGTCCGAAACCGCGGCACACCTTCGAGTTGGGCCTTCAGATATGTCTGCACCAACTGCTGATACGGAAGGTCGCGATTCGTCGGCGGCGAGTACGGAATGCCTCCGCACACGACCACGCAATAAACATAGAACCAGGAATTCAAATCGTCCACCATGCTCACCAGGTCACCCCTGAGCGCCGTAATCGGCATGAATAATAAAGTGCCACGGCCGGGCAGCCGCTTCGATCCGAACTTCTTCGCCATGCCGAAGTCGCAGAGGACGATCTGCAAGAAAAAAGCGTAAACCCTGCAGTGTAAAAAAATGCGCAAAAATAAACTGCACAGTGCAAAAAACGAAAAAAAAGAAAATCTGCACAGTGCGGCAACTCACTTTGTTCTCAGTTCGCCTTCTCTGCATATAGTTCGCCGGCTTGATGTCATTGTGCGCATACCCCAAGCGCTGCAGGTCCAGGATTCCCAACAGCATCTGGTAGCAGGCGTTCAGCTTCTGGGCGTAGGTGGCGCGCCTCAAAATCCCGTCCACGGCCTCCTGCATGCACAGTTCGTACAAGGGCGAGACGAAAAAGACGTAGTTCGGATACTGGCCCACATCCAACACTAGCAAGACGTACGGATCGCTGAAAAAACGTTTATCACACAAGGTATTGGCCGTATTGTTGCTATTAGCATCTCCACATGGCGCATGCACAATTGTCGCAGCCTTTCGATGGCGCTGATTTCGAATATCGCATCAATTTTTTCTGAATTTTACAATTTTGCTTAAGCAGTAGTGTTAATTAGTAATAAAAAAAAATTTTTTTAGTAATCGATTTAGGGGTTTTCGATGGTGCTGATTTTGAAAATCGTATCTATTTCTTCTGAATTTTTGCCTTAATCTTCATCAGTTCGATACGATTTTCGAAGTCAGCGCCATCGAAAACCTCTTAGACACTACTGCTTAAGAAAATTCAGAAAAATTGATATGATTTTCGAAGTCAGCGCCATCGAAAACCTCCCTCCCCCCTCCCCCCGCCCTCCTCTTTCCTTTTTTTAGCGGACCTTTCCGTCTTCAACCTTTGACGTATACCACTTCGGGCGCAAAATCCCGCAGAAAGAATAAACAATCAACAAAAACTCACCTGCCGGCATAGAGGCGAATTTTCCGGATCAACATAAACTCCCCTTTGGCACGCTGCTTCTCTGTGGGAGTCGTGGTGGGTTGGAACTTGACGGCCACCGCGTCTTTGTCGCCGTGCTCCGCCTTGTACTCATGCACCGTGCCGTAGCTGCCACTGCCCAGGTGGCCGACATGGGTGTACCTGTGCGTGCCGAGGTCGATCAGGGTGGGAAGATCCAGCTGGAGACTATCGTCGTGAACGATTTCCCCCTCGTTCAGGGCCATGGTCGGCAAAGTGTCGAGGGGGTTTTCTTCGTCTTCTCTGAAAATGCCAAGCCTATTATAAAGCTCAAACAAAGTTATAAAGATCAGAGAAAAAGTGCAACACCAAAAAAAGAAAGAAAGTTTCAGAAGTTCCATTTATAAACCTACTCATCACCCATGTCCTCTTCGTCGGTAAGCTCTTGCAGAACGAAATGGGGTACTTCGACGTTGGGATTCACCTGTTTCTGCTCGGGCGTCTTCGGCCTTCGGAATCTCCTCGAACGGGCTGCCACTGTCTTCCGATTGAACTGAAGGAGAAAAAAGAATTTCTTCCACACATTTCATCGAAATGATGGACTTTCTGCCAAAAGACTCCATCAGTCCCAACTCACCCAATACGCCAGGACAATAGCAAGGAAGAGGAGGAAGGCGACAATAGACAACACGCCGATCGCAATGTACAACTGCTCCTCATACGTCACGCGACCGCTTCTTTCTGTCGATGGTGCCGGGGATAGGGATCTAAAAAGTTGTCCAAAAAGGCATACATTCCACTCACAGAAGGCTGACATTTTCGTAGAGGAACCGAACGTAGACGTTTTTGAGCTCATTTTTTGGGATAAATGACGCCAATTCGCAGTCGTGCATGACTTGGAGGTACTGCTGCAACTTGCACATGTAAAAACTTGGCATGAACCTTACGACATGATACCATGCGGACTCTTGATTTGCGACCAAGGAAATCTTGACTTTATTGCATGAATAGGGCGTCCAATTCAAAGCCAACGAACCCACGGGCATTTCCTGGCACTTCCCATCGCCGTCTTTGTACACATACGTCCCGCCGGCCTGGTTCAGGCCCAAGTTTCCGTCCACGACGACGGGTATTTCCTTCATTTCCATTCGTTCCCCATCCAGGTCAAAAATCGCTGCGACCTTTCGCCGCTTATTTGCAATGCCATAGAGCTTGTCCTTGATTCGGTACACATAAAAGTGGATACTACAGTCGTCGGGCGTGGTAACAATTCGTACTGCATTGGCGTCGCCGGCAACGGGGCAATGGCTGAAATATGTTGCACATAAATTGAAGAAAGGTTCAACTTACACCCGATTCCCGTCACTTTCTTTGACTGTGACCTGGCCGCCGAGCTCAATCGCATCTCCCTTCACCACCATCTGCAGGTTAACGCCCTCGATTGTTCCGTTGAACTCGATCGGCTTCCTGAAATAGGGACATAATTGACAAGGAAAGTACTTCCATGGGCTATGGAGTTACAGGTCGCGATATCCATCAAAAAATCGCAGTTTTTCTGATTCAGAATATGTAAAAATTAGCTGCCTAATTTTGGTTTGTAAGGGCGAAAAAATCCTCTGAACTTTTCTCGCAACACCACGCAAATGCCTCTTTTTCATAATGCAACCACTAATTAACCCGTAGTATTAATCAAATTTGATATTTTAAGGCTTGTCAAGATACCAGGATTTGCTTTAGCTCAAAAACAAGCTTCTGATTTGGTGCAAACTTGGTCAAAAAAACGTAGTTACGTGGCGTTGTGAGAAAAGTTCTGAGGGTCCCTTACAAATCAAAACTAGGCAGCTAATCTTTGCATATTCTGAATCAGAAAAACTTTGCGACTTTTTGATGTATGCCTCGACCGGTAACTCCATAGCCCATAGAAGTACTTTCTGTTAGCATTTTCAGCTAATTTCCAAAAGAACTGGCCTCGAAACCACGAAAAATAAAAAAAACGTCAGTCGAACGCCGAAACAACATTTCTAACAAGCCAACACGCCGTAGATTCATCCAAAGTTCCAGGATAAAGCGTGCGAAACTGACACCTCTAGAAACAAGAACAAACAAGGCTCCAACTTACGGTACAAGTCGTTCATTCCAGTCGAGCGTTTCCATTAGAATCCCGCCGTCCTTGAATTCGAATAGCCTCAGCTCAGCGAGGTTCGGCTGCGGACCCTTGAACAACGCGCTGCACATCAACAGCGACTTGACCAGCGCGCGAATCGCAATTTCTTCCATAGCATCGATCAAGGCGGGACGAGAAGCGGCCGCGGCCGGAGTGCGAAGCGACAAATGAGAGGAAATTCCAGAGAATCCACGCAAAAAATTATTCAAATATTACGCAATTTTTTGCGGCAAAAATATTCCAAGATATTGGAGTTCTCCCAGAAATTGGCATCACCAAGATCAATTTTCATCGGCGAACATTTGGAAAAAAGGTTTCTTGCGCGTACGCCCATTTGTTTTGCGAAAAAAATTTTCGGTCAAAAATCGGGCTGCGGCCCAGACTTCAAAAAACGTTAGTGACATATTATATGAAAGCGATTTAAAGCCAGTTTCTGTACTATTAGCATTTTCATAAAGTGCATGGACGGGTGCATGACTGAATATGAACTGACTGAATATGAAGGACTAAATATGAAGGACTGAATATGAAAAGGACTGAATATGAACTGACTGAATATGAACTGTGGAGCTGACTGAATATGAAATTTGGCAAATTTGGTCTATTTCAAGGACTATATAGTACCAAGTGCTATAAATGTGTTTTTGGGCTGTACTAAGCACCAAACCAACACCATTACCGCCTTACGCCCAAATTTTCACCTCGTACTAAATAGTACCAATTGGTACTATATAGTACCAAGTGCTATAAATGTGTTTTTGGGCTGTACTAAGCACCAAACCAACACCATTACCAGCCAAATTTTCACCTCGTACTAAATAGTACCAGGTAGTACTATTTAGCACCAAGTGTTAAAAAAGTTTTTTTTTAAGCAGTACTAGGCACCAAAACAACACCATTAACGTCTAAAGGTGTCATAAGTCGAAAAAATTTTAAAAAGAGTCCTTAATCGGAACCTAGGTAGTAACAGTAACAGAAACCCGGTTTTCATATTCAGTCAGTTCATATTCGGTCCTTCATATTCAGTCAGCACCCCAGTTCATATTCAGTCAGTTCATATTCAGTCCTTCATATTCGGTCCTTCATATTCAGTCAGTTCATATTCAGTCTCCCTTCGGCATGGACATTTGTCCACAATGGCGCATTGTGAAGACATGTCAAGACTCTTTGGCCCGTCTAGTACAAAAACAATGAATTAACATAAAAAATGGTCTTTTCATTGCATAAAGTGTCTTCCGCAGCTCGCGTCTCTTTCATTTCCCCAATACTTCGATTTTTTTAATAAAAAATTTTTATTTATTTCCTAAATAAGTGACACATATTTTGCCACAGAGTCATTGATTCGGATTGCCTATTCCTTCGGCTTGGTCTGCGGCTTTTTGGAGATGGCCTTCTTCTCTGATGGCTTCTTTTCTTCGGCCTTGTGTTCCTCAGCACGGTTTTTTTCCGGTTCCTTCTCCGACTTGTTCGATACTTGCGTCAGTTCAGGCTCCAAGTTGACGGGGGGCAACCAGGGGCCAGTGATATCCGGGGCTCCGCAAGCGACACCGACCTGAAATCAAACAAATTATAAAACTAAAAAAAAAACAAAAAAAAAACAAATTCCCTCCAAAAACTCACCGACTGAATCACAGCCCCAAAGTTGGTCGAATCGATCTCATCCTGGGGAGTCGCATTCCAAAAAGCCTCCTTCAGTCGACTGAAGGCATCAGCAAGACCCACGTATTGGTCAGGAAGACATTTCTCGAAGTGCCACTGCTTCTTCAAATCCTGCATTTTGTCCAAATCCTGTTCTTCGGCCCAAGGAAGGGGGGCAAACATCTCGAAACACATCATCAACCAGGACTGGAAGTCATCACATTGGCCGGTGGGTCTGCCAGAATGGGCGGCGATGGAAGCGTACTTCGGAGTGCCCATCGGGCTGTCCGATGGTCTGGAAGATCGAAAACGACGGGCCAAGCCAAAGTCGATGATCGTGAGCTGAAAATGGAACATGTAATGGACTGCAAGTACGCCAGAAGCATTTTTGAACCACCAAAAATCGTGCTCTTCTTATTTCCGCCACTTACAAATCCTGCATTACGGTTACGTTGAGTCATAAAGTGTCCCGGCTTGATGTCTCCATGACAATATCCCATATTCTGCAGGCCTCTGATGGTGAACCAAGTCTGATAGCAGATGCTGAGTTTGGCTTTGACGTCTAACTTGTGTGCATTCAGGATCACAGACAACGATGGGCCCTGCAGCAGAGTGATCGTAAACAGGCAAAGTTCCGTCTGGCCGTGGTCAATGACGCGCGGGAAACGCTGGTCCTTGCTGAAAATTAACTAATTATTGAGTTTTTCCATGCGGACTGCAGTGCGGAAAAAAATCAAGAAACCCCAAACTTACAAACCGCATGCCGATGCAATGTTACGGACAACAGTGAAATCACGCAAGATCTTCTCTTGCTGTTCTTTGCCTGTGTACTTCACCGCCATTGAACCCATTTTAGAATTGTAAGCGTAGAACACTGAGCAGGGGCCTCGAGCAATCGGCGTCTCACTGCACAGACAATAGCTTTGCATTTTGTGGATGTTACGCTGCAATCAAAAAAATTTATCACCATGAAAAAAAAGTCAGAAAACTTTTGTCGCACTGTGCAAAAATCGAAGTTGAAGCACAGCGCAAAAAAAAATCAAAAAAAAAAAGAACCCACCGGAATTCGGAATTTCAACTCCCTGTCTTCAAAATAATTCCTGGACACCGGATAGAGCACAAGCTCCCAAATATTGAACATCTTCTCGGACTCTGGTTTTTCACTCTCGTCCTCAGACTCCGTTACCTTGGACTCTTTCTTGGATGGTTCCTCCGGTTTCTTCGGTGCTGGCGGAGCGTTCATATTGGTCGGAGCGGGTGGAACCGCCGCTTTTACGGCCAACGCTGACTCATTATTGGTCGGGATGGAAGAAGCTTTTTGCACTTTTCCGCTCTTCTTGGCTTTTCGTTTCTTCTAAAATTTTCCTTTTGGTACAAAAGTACAAAAAAAAAACAAATAAATCGCAGTTTTTCTCGAAAAAATGAACACATTACAGGGTTGTTCAGCCGAAGCTTCCATCCTTATTTCACGAATTTCTGCGCCGATAATGCACCAACTTTTATAAAATTTATATCAAATTGAAGCTGCGGTTCCCCATTTTTTGTCTACCAAATATGGCATACCCAAGTTCAAGGATACCTCGTACTGACCTTTGACATTTTCATTCCAAATTTTGGAGCCCAAAATCGGTGAAACTTAGAAAATTTTTGGAATGATTTTCAATTCGAAAGAATGAAAACGAAAGCTCTTTTCTCGGGAAATCGAGGCCTTACAACTTTATCTTCAAGGTGGATTTCGTCATGCACATAGACAGTCTCGCCCATTTGTTCGTATTTTTTAAAATTTCGATTAACGAAGAACCTCAGCTTCATTTTAATATAAATTTTAAAACTGGTGCATTATCCGCGCAGAAACGTTCTCGGAGGATAGGTTACCCCTAGCCAATAGGTTACCCCGGCGGATAGGTTACCCCACCGGATAGGTTTTGAGGATAGGTTACCCTTTTCCTAAAAAAAAATTTTTTTTGGAACGTTTTCGCTTCGGGACATGAAACAAAAGGATTTTTTGTGAAATTTGAATAAAATTTGAAATGTTTTCGCTTCGGGAGTGGAAAAAATACTTTTTTGTGAAAATTGAAAAAAAAAATTGAAATGTTTTCGAGCTGACTGAGTATGAACAGACTGAATCTGAAAACTGGGTTTCTGTTACTCTACTACCTTTAGAGATTCTTTTTGAAATTTCTTCGACTTATAACACTTTTAGACGTTAATGGTGTTGTTTTGGTGCCTAGTACTGCTTAAAAAACACATTTTTAACACTTGGTACTAAATAGTATAATACTACCTGGTACCATTTAGTACGAGGTGCAAATTTGGCCGTAAGGCAGTCATGGCGTTGGTTTGGTGCTTAGTAGAACCCAAAAACACGTGGTACTATATAGTACCAGCTGGACCATCGGTTTTAGACAAAATTTTAGTGATGGCGGCACCACAGTTCATATTCCGCAGACACCCTTTTTTCTACTCCGATGCAAAAAAAATTCAAAATTTTGTTGAATTTTCCAAAAAAAAATTTTTTTCCCAGTCCCGAAGCGAAAACGTTTCAATTTTTTTTTTCAAATTTCACAAAAAATCCTTTTTTCCAAGTCCCGAAGCGAAAACATTTCAAAAAAATTCTTTCTTTGGAAAATGGTAACCTGTCCTCTAGGTAACCTATTCTCGGGGTAACCTATCCTCCGCAAATCGCGCAGAAATACTTGAAATAAGGATGGAAACTTCGGCTGAACCACCCTGTACGTGCGAGAACTAACTAGCTACTTTTTGCTCCACGATTTCACCAAAAAAATCAAAATTCTTCCAAGTATGGGAAAGTCAATTGAAAATCATTCCAAAAATTTTTCAAGTTTTAGCGGTTTCGGCTCGAAAATAATTCTTCAAAATTTTCAGAAGGCATAGAACGGTCAATTCAAAATATATTCTTTTGAAACTCGACCGATCGAGGTCCGCATGGTGCAAAAAATAATAGATTTATCAGAGCGAAAAAATAAACACATTACGTGCGAGAACTAACTAAATTTCGCACAGTGAAACTTTTCACGGTGCAGAAACTCAAAACATCAGGCCAGGCAGAATGTTTGCACTAAAGAATAAATCAAATAAACTCACACAGAAACAAACGCCGCCAATTATCGAGGCAATAATGCCCAACAATGATAACACTCCGCCAACAGAGCCTGCAATGACGGCTACATTTTTGTGCTCTGGTTCCGATTCGACAGTGGAGTTAAGTCTAAAAATGTCAAATTAAATACAAACAGCTTCGAAAAATGCGGTTATCACACGATTACAAAAGCTTACGGAAGTTTCGATGGAACGGTGAGGAATTTGACAAAAGTGTTGTCGACAAGGTTGTCATCGAGTACATTCGTCTCGTTTTCTGGATCTTGAAGGCTGCAGCCGTGAACATTCACCAAATAACGCTGAAAAATCACTGTTAACGCTTCTAAACAGGCAATTCCAAAAAAATTCGTAAACCCCAGTCTCCAGAAATCCAAGCTGCGCCCGAGCGTTAGCTTTACATTTTTTAGACTAAAACGAGCGCCAAATCAAGCTTGGTGAAAACCACAAACGACCACGAAGGCCCGCTGCGGGAAGGTCGGCAAAAAAAACTTCTGACGTTTTTTTTTTCTTTACAACCAAACATTAGACACTACTGCTTAAGAAAATTCAGAAAAAAATGGAGACGATTTTCGAAGTCAGCGCCATCAAAAACCTCCTCCCCCCTCCCCGCCCTCCTCTTTCCCTTTTTCTAGCGGACCTTTCCGTCCTCAATCGGTGAAAACATCCCGCTGGAGTGTTTAAAGTACAAAATTTCGGCCAAAATTATTTGCCAGCAGCGCCCCAGCTTGGACTTGTAACTCGAATTTTGACGCTTTTTGTGACTTCAACTTGATCCAAAAGTTTTCAGACTTACCATCGAGAAAGGACCATGTTTTTTGTTGTCTGCCGGAACCTTGAGCTTCTCCACCTCACACTCCTTCAATGGCCAGCCCTCCCTGAACTCAGAAAGCTCGACCATTTGACATTTCCCATTCTTTTGCAGAACAAGTCTCTTTCCGTCCATGTCCAGAGCAATGTGATCATCACAAGTCACTGTCTCAATATCTTGGGGAACTCTCGGGTTCTCAGGAGTCGCTACACCATCAACCCCGGTCTGAAATGATGGCAGTGGTTGGCAGGAGATCATGTAAACGTGCTCATCTGATGACGTGAAGTGAAAGCCCGTGACACACGTACTCATGTTTAAAATGCTCGGTAGTGTATCTGAACCTCTGACGGCACAACGCCTACAAAAAAAAGTAAAAAATTCAAGTCCAACCTACCTTCCATCCGGCAACTCCACATCACCCTTGGTTGTGATGTTGTCGCCATGTATCAAGAATTGGAATGTGACGGCCTTTAGGCCCAAAGTTCGGAGCGGGGTAACCGGCTCGCTGAAAAACAAATCGTTGGCTAAAAATGGATGCTCTCTAAGATAAAATCGAACCGTCAACTCACTTGTTGATCTTTCCAGTTCCTTCGTCATGGAAAAATCTCGCCAGCTTGCCGGTGTCATCGAATCCATAGGTCGTGATGAGAACGTCGGTGGGGCTGGGGTGCTCGAACATTGACCCGCACATCAACAAGACCCGAGTAATCGTAGCGAACGTTCCTGCAGTGTCCATATTGATCGCAGTCGCGATTCTTCCGGAGCGCTGTTTTCGACTGACCGACCACTGGATGGGAAATGACCGCAAATGACGCCCGGTTAGAGTTTGAACTTATTTTGATTTTCCCCACATGTCACGAGAGTCGTTATGCAAATTTTTATAGGAAAATCAAAAAAAAATGAATTTAGATTTTTTTCCATGGAAAAGCGACCGAACTTTTCGGCAAAATTTCGATATTTTTTGGAAAAACTTTGACTATGGTATGTTAGTGAGGTACCTTCTTTTTTACGTACCACCTTACCCTTCAAAAACGGCTGCAGCCTGTGATTTTACACTTTATACGATGAAACATGTCCGGAACTAAACTTATTGCCTCCGTATGGAACTAAATGAGTCGTCACAGCCTTCGTAGGTACCCTTTAAACTATAGAGCTATTATAGTAATTCAGTCCCAGCTAGGTCGAAGCGTTTTTTTCTAACTTTAGTGCCCAAGCTTGGGCGCAGTTCGCGTAGTACCTTTGTTGTGGCCAAAATAAGGAACTTTTTCCTAAGGGGGTCGCGACTTTTCGGTCCCCACACTTTCGGTCCCCGCCTTTTCGGGCCCGCCTTTTTGGGGTGGGAAACTTTTCGGTTCCAAAAAAGGAATTTTTACCAAGAGCAGGCTACCCCATTTGATTTTACGTCTAGATTGCGCGTTTTCTGGACGGATAACCCACCAAACTTTTAATTTTGTGAAGCTTGTTGCCTCATGGATAATGTAAGTCAATTTATCTTTTTTTTCGCTAAAACAGTGTAAAAGTGGACAGTTCTACATTTAGTTTTGGAAACTAGATTAATTTTACCGTGTAAATTCGGCTAATGTTATGAAAGACCAGTTTAACCTTGAGTACCAAGCACAACATAAAATTTAAATTTAGCTGTGTCTGGTTGGAATTTGGTGTTAGAATGAAGCTAACAACTTACTTTACCCTTAGAAATCATTAATCAGAACTTACATTGTCCATCGGGCCACACACTTCACAAAATTCCAACTTTGTTGTACCATGGATACTCTTAATTTGAATCAATCTGAATCTCAAAAACTAAGCAAAGCCAGAACTTGATTCTTTTTCCATAATAATCTATTGTCGTAAAGAACATGTTTGAGCAACGAACAATCACATTTCAGGTAATAAGTGTAAAATTGTAAATTGCAATTTTAGATTTCAGGTGCGCAGAAAATTTGGATCAACCCTGCAAAAAGTTATTTTGCTCGCTGAGGTGGTGGATTTTATTGTTGTAAATGGTGAATACGGACACTACTGGAAAAAGAATCAAGTTCTGGCCTTGCTTATTGTTAGTTTTTGAGATTCAGATTGATCCAAATTAAATGCGCGGAGTATACAATTAGACAGAATTGTAATACTTAGAAAATGCATACGACTCTTGAAATCAGCGATGTCGATTACCCTCTTACTTTCCCTTCCCCACCCAGCCGTTGTACCGCCCTTTTTCAGTGGTCCTCGAGGGGCCTAGACTTATACATTATACAGGGTGGTTCAGCTAAGTTCGCGGATGTAAAATGCTTATAACTTTTTATAGGATTGTTCAAGTTTTATAAGCAATAGCTCATTTTATTCCTTAGTCGTTGCCATTTTGTTTCAAAAAAAGATCATTAAAAACGATCAATCCTGCGTCGAGTTATGACCCTTCAAAGTCAAACATGCTTTTACACGTAAATTTTTGAAAAAATTTAATTTTCAAAAATTTTTGAATTGCGGTGTCACCGCTCGCTGGTACCGGGAAATGATGGTGAACAGAGCGATCCCAGCTATGCAAAATTGGACCAATTTTGCCAGTCTTTTGAATTCTTCCATAATTTGGCGCCTCATTTGTTCATCCTGGCGAACTCGTTCCAACTCTTCTTCGATTACGCGCTTCAATTCCTCTAACGTGTTTGGGCGCCAATCCCTGATGAAAATCCGCTGTGTTAAAAGCATCCAAATGGAGAAATCTAGCGGAGTTAGATCAGGTGAACGGGGGCCACGCAATTGGAGCTGATTAATAAAATGAGCTATTGCTCATAAAAATTGAACAATCCTGTAAAAAGTTATAAGCATTTTACATCCGCGAACTTAGCTGAACCACCCTGTACAGGGTGTTTCAAGAAATTTGGAACAAATGACTTGCTTATATCTTTGTGTTCTTTGCAGCTATCAACGAATTTCTTTTTGCTTCTAAAAATTGACAGCGTGCGTTTTTAGAATCTTAAAAAAAATTTTTTTGTCGGCGGAGGGCCCATTTCTCGGCGTAGAAAATTAGGGCCTTTTTTAAAAATCACAGCGTATTACGTGGCGGAAACGCCGTTGCAACGGCTGAAATCAAGTTTACGTTACACCTCCTTCGATTTTACGGTATGCATTTTTTTGTTTTCGATTTTACGCGCACCGCGAAGGCGCGGCGGAGACTTCAGATTTCGGCGGACGTTGTTTTGGGCCTTCGGCTGTTGCAATTCATGTTGGAAAAGAGGTTGGGGTGATTTTTTGTTGTCATCCAATGCACAGATGGCAAAAATTTCGTGCTTTTTTTCCCCGGCGGAGGATTCGGCGGAGGCTTTATCAAAGGGTCAAAGCTGTCTTACGAGTCCGGGAAAAATCTCAGCTACAAGAATCCATCAGAGCAGCATTGTCCTTCAAAGATTTTTGATTTTTTTGGTCCGGCGGACAAATCAGCGGAGTTTTGTTTTTACCCTTTGATAAAGCCTCCGCCGACTCCTCCGCCGGGGATAAAAAGCACGAAATTTTTGCCATCTGTGCATCGGATGACAACAAAAAACCACCCCAACCTCTTTTCCAACATGAATTGCAACAGCCGAAGGCCCAAAACGACGTCCACCGAAATCTGAGGTCTCCGCCGCGCATCCGCGGAAGTGCGTAAAATCGAAAACGCAAAAAAAGCATACCGTAAAATCGATGGAGGTATTACGTAAACTTGATTTCAGCCGTTGCAACGGCGTTTCCGCCACGTAATACGCTGTGATTTTTAAAAAAGGCCCTAATTTTCTCCGCCGAGAAATGGGCCCTCCGCCGACGAAAAAAATTTTTTTGAGATTCTAAAAACGCACGCTGTCAACTTTTAGAAACAAAAAGAAATTCGTTGATAGCTGCAAAGAACAAAAAGATATAAGCAAGTCATTTGTTCCAAATTTCTTGAAACACCCTGTACAATGAAAAGTTTCATTGTTTATACAGTGGAACTCTGGGAAAGTTTTCTTTTGTGACTCGGTAATTCAGCGACATTTCGTCAAAAATCAATGATCCGAGATTCCTTGTGGCATGTCTTCGCACCGTGCGGGTGCATGAAATCGGCGTTGCGACAAGGTGTCGCGCCATAAAGATTTGGCGGGTTGCGAATGAAGAACGCACTGTGCGATGTTTACCCTTTTCAAAACAATCTTTTTGCACTGTGCGGTGTCGCATTGCACCGTAAATTTTTCAAATTTCATGCACAACGGCGCACTGTGAAGACATGTCAAGGCCCTTTGGCAGAGTAAATTATCAAAAAGATGAAGTCTTTTCATTGCATAAAATGTCTTCCGCAGCTCGCGTCTCCTTCATTTCCCGATTTTTTTAACAAGGAAAGTACTTCTATGGGGTATGGAGTTACCGGTCGAGATATGTATCAAAAAATTCGCAAAAATTTTCTGATTCAGAATATATAAAAATTAGCTGCCTAATTTTGGTCTATCAACGAGTTTTATCAATAAATGTATTTCTCGAGGAAAAAAACTGCGGCAACAAAAGCGCGCTCGGTCTCTTCCTTCGGAAGAGAGCGGTGTGGCCGAGTGGTTAGGGCGCTAGATTGGGAATCCGAGGGGAACGGGTTCGATTCCTTTTGCCACAAAACCCATTTTTTACATTGGAACTACTTTTAAGGTGTAGTTGTAATCCAATTTGATATTTTAAGGCTTGTCAAGGCCTCAGAATTTATCTTAGCACAAAATAAAAATTTTTTATTGGTAAAAACGCGGCCAAAAAGACACTTGCATGGTGTCGCGAGAAAACTTCTGAGGACAAAAACATGTCATCAGACCCAAATTAGGCAGCTAATTTTTTTATATTCTGAATCAGAAAATTTTTGCGAATTTTTTGATATGTATCTCGACCTGTAACTTCACACCCCATAGAAGTACTTTCCTTGTTATAAAAAATTTTTATTGATTTCCTAAATAAGTGACACATATTTTGCCACAGAGTCATTGATTCGGCTCGCCTATTCCTTCGGCTTGGTCTGCGGCTTTTTGGAGATGGCCTTCTTCTCTGATGGCTTCTTTTCTTCGGCCTTGTGTTCCTCAGCACGGTTTTTTTCCGGTTCCTTCTCCGACTTGTTCGATACTTGCGTCAGTTCAGGCTCCAAGTTGACGGGGGGCAACCAGGGGCCAGTGATATCCGGGGCTCCGCAAGCGACACCGACCTGAAATCAAACAAATTATAAAACTAAAAAAAAACAAAAAAAAAAACAAATTCCCTCCAAAAACTCACCGACTGAATCACAGCCCCAAAGTTGGTCGAATCGATCTCATCCTGGGGAGTCGCATTCCAAAAAGCCTCCTTCAGTCGACTGAAGGCATCAGCAAGACCCACGTATTGGTCAGGAAGACATTTCTCGAAGTGCCACTGCTTCTTCAAATCCTGCATTTTGTCCAAATCCTGTTCTTCGGCCCAAGGAAGGGGGGCAAACATCTCGAAACACATCATCAACCAGGACTGGAAGTCATCACATTGGCCGGTGGGTCTGCCAGAATGGGCGGCGATGGACGCGTACTTCGGAGTGCCCAACAGGCTATCCGATGGTCTGGAAGATCGAAAAGGACGGGCCAAGCCAAAGTCGATGATCGTGAGCTGAAAATGGAACATGTAATGGACTGCAAGTACGCAAGAAGCATTTTTGAACCACCAAAAATCGTGCTCTTCTTATTTCTGCCACTTACAAATCCTGCATTATGGTTACGTTGAGTCATAAAGTGTCCCGGCTTGATGTCTCCATGACAATATCCCATATTCTGCAGGCCTCTGATGGTGAACCAAGTCTGATAGCAGATGCTGAGTTTGGCTTTGATGTCCAACTTGTGTGCATTCAGGATCACAGACAACGATGGGCCCTGCAGCAGAGTGATCGTAAACAGGCAAAGTTCCGTCTGGCCGTGGTCAATGACGCGCGGGAAACGCTGGTCCTTGCTGAAAATTAACTAATTATTAAGTTTTTCCATGCGGACTGCAGTGCGGAAAAAAATCAAGAAACCCCAAACTTACAAACCGCATGCCGATGCAATGTTACGGACAACAGTGAAATCACGCAAGGTCTTCTCTTGCAGTTCTTTGCCTGTGTACTTCACCGCCATTGAACCCATTTTATTAGGTTGATTCAAAAGTTTTTCCACATTTTTTTGAGACACTTCAAAATAAAATTCCTGGAGCCTGATTGAATGTACGTTAAAACTGAAAGCATAGATGTATGGGGCAGACCATTGCAAAATTTTTGATTCGTAGAATTTTATTTTCTACAAGCTTCCTTTCAGAATATTTCAAAAATACTAAAAATTTCTCCGTTTGTGTCATGGTGAATATCCCGGGCCCTAGCAATTTTCCAGCCCACTAAAAAGTCTCGGGTTTTGGGTTATTCGTACTGGGGATGACTGTAGTTTCTTCTGAATTTATTGCTCTACTTATATCTACACTGACGTTTTTTGTAGGATCCCATAAAGTTGGCCGAAGAGCCGAGCTACCGATCAAAAGCAGATTTTTACAAATTTTTTGAAAGGAGTTAGACTTTTTTGACTTGGCTGCCATTCAGGTTGTACAAAGACAGTATGCTGATGATACATTCAAAAAGTCACCAACTGAAATTGCCTTATAAGGTAGAAAAGTAGCATAAACTGCACTTTTAGGCGAATTTTTGTAATTTTTTTACTGGTATGGCAAGAGGACCTTCAGCTTAGCGCGTCTAGCAACTGATAGTGTATGTCAAGTAGGATCAATTATTTATTAAATAACTAGGATACCGGGCGAGAGTAATGAACAGAAAACGTTTTTGTAAAAATCCCCTAAATTTCGTAAAATATTGGTAGATTAGAAAGATTCGATTTTTCTGCCGCATAGCTAAAGCTAGCGCGAATGTTTAGCATTGGCGTTGTAGTGCTACTCATACACTACAATAACAGAAAGCGTTATCTCTTAGTGCTTCTAATAGCTGCGTCTACAGGGTCTACTTTTGCCAGATCCTAATTTTAGATTTTTCGCACTAAAAATTTTTCGACTAGCCCTATAGCAAATTGTCCTCGATGCCATAGAGATTACATACAGGCATACCATATTCTAGAATATTAAGAAGATACAGCCACTCGAGACGTAACGCCGGCGGTTTACTTTTTCTTCCTTCGAGTAGTTAAGGTTTAACACGGCGCTACTACTACAAATTGCTAAGTTGTAAAAAGTTATTAATCTACTATAATCTACAAACAGCCCTCTTTCTAACAAGATATATATCAGGCCCACTGGCTTTGGTCTAAATTTTTTAAAATTTTTTAAACACATGTGGAAAAACTTTTGAATCAACCTAATAGAATTGTAAGCGTAGAACACTGAGCAGGGGCCTCGAGCAATCGGCGTCTCACTGCACAGACAATAGCTTTGCATTTTGTGGATGTTACGCTGCAATCAAAAAAAATTATCACCATGAAAAAAAAGTCAGAAAACTTTTGTCGCACTGTGCAAAAATCGAAGTTGAAGCACAGCGCAAAAAAAATCAAAAAAAAAAAAGAACCCACCGGAATTCGGAATTTCAACTCCCTGTCTTCAAAATAATTCTTGGACACCGGATAGAGCACAAGCTCCCAAATATTGAACATCTTCTCGGACTCTGGTTTTTCACTCTCATCCGTGGTCGGAACGAGTGGAACGGCCGCTCTTACGGCCAACGCAGAGTCATTGGTCGGGATGGAAGAAGCTTTTTGCACCTTTCCGCTCTTCTTGGCTTTTCGTTTCTTCTAAAATTTTCCTTTTTGGTACAAAAGTACAAAAAAAAACAAATCTCGCACAGCGCAAACAAAAAAATATGTTCCGCACGGTGCAAAAAATAATAGATTTCTCAGAGCGAAAAAATGAACACATTACAGGGTGGTTCAGCCGAAGCTTCCACCCTTATTTCACGTATTTCTGCGCCGAAAATGCACCAATTTTTATAAAATTTATATCAAATTGAAGCTGAGGTTCCCCATTTTTTGTCTGCCAAATATGACATACGCAAGTTCAAGGATGCCTCCGTACTGACCTTTGACATTTTCATTCCAAATTTTGGAGCCCAACATCGGTGAAACTTAGAAAATTTTTGGAATGATTTTCAATTCGAAAGAATGAAAACGAAAGCTCTTTTCTCGGGAAATCCAGGCCTTACAACTTTATCTTCAGTGTGGATTTCGTCATCCACATAGACAGTCTCGCCCATTTCTTCGTATTTTTTAAAATTTCGATTAACGAAGCCTGTTACCCCAAAACAGAAGAGCAATGCCTTGAAGATTAATTAGGAGTATTCCGTTGACTACCGTCAATTTTTTCAGCTACCTCTAAATGTCTTATTTAGCCAAAGACTCCAATATTTTCCAAATACGAGAACTTAATTGAAAATCATTTCAAAAATTTTCTAAGTTTCACCGACTTCGGGCTTCAAAAGTTGGAATGAAAATGTCAAAGGTCAGTACGGGGGTCCTTGAACTTCGGCCTGTCACATTTGGTGGGCAAAAAATAGGGAACCTCAGCTTCATTTTGATATAATTTCGGATAGGTTAACTCGGAGGATAGGTTGCCTTTTTTCTGAAGAAAAAATTTCTTTTTGGAATTTTTTGGATTTTTTGCTTCGGGACTTGGAAAAAAAGGATTTTTTGTGAAAATTGAAAAAAAATTTGAAATGTTTTCGCTTCGGGAGTGGAAAAAATACTTTTTTGTGAAAATTGAACAAAATTTGAAATGTTTTCGAGCTGACTGAGTATGAACTGACTGAATCTGAAAACTGGGTTTCTGTTACTCTACAACCTTTAGAGATTCCTTTTGAAATTTCTTCGACTTATAACACTTTTAGACGTTAATGGTGTTGTTTTGGTGCCTAGTACTGCTTAAAAAACACATTTTTAACACTTGGTACTAAATAGTATAATACTACCTGGTACTATTTAGTACGAGGTGCAAATTTGGCCGTAAGGCAGTAATGGCGTTGGTTTGGTGCTTAGTAGAACCCAAAAACACGTGGTACTATATAGTACCAGCTGGACCATCGGTTTTAGACAAAATTTTAGTGCTGGCGGCATCACAGTTCATATTCCGCCAGACACCCTTTTTTTTACTCCCGATGCAAAAAGATTTCAAAATTTTGTTGAATTTTCCAAAAAAAAATTTTTTTCCAGTCCCGAAGCGAAAACGTTTCAATTTTTTTCAAATTTCACAAAAAATCCTTTTTTCCAAGTCCCGAAGCGAAAACACTTCAAAAAAATTCTTTCTTTGGTAAATGGTAACCTGTCCTCTAGGTAACCTATTCTCGGGGTAACCTATCCTCCGCAAATCGCGCAGAAATACTTGAAATAAGGATGGAAACTTCGGCTGAACCACCCTGTACGTGCGAGAACTAACTAAATTTCGCACAGTGAAATTTTTGATTTTAGTAAGAGCGTAAGCTACTTTTTGCCACGAAGGACGGAAAGGTCCGCTGTGCGGAAAGGTCCGCTGCGCGGAAAGGTCCGCTGTGCGGAAAGGTCCGCTAAAAAAAAGAGGAGGGCGGGGAGGGGGAGGTTTTCGAAGGCGCAGATTTCGAATATCGTATCCATTTTTTTCTGAATTTTACAATTTTGCTTATGCAGTAGTGTTAACTAGTAATTTTTAAAAAAATTTTTTTGAGTAATGGATTTAGGCGTAAGTTATATTGTACTTGGTGTTTTGATTTTTAGGTGTGACTAGTCTCGAAAAAAATTTTTTTTGAAATGTTTTCGCTTCGAGACTTGAAAAAAAGGATTTTTTGTGAAATTTGAATAAATTTGAAATGTTTTCGCTTCGGGACATCAAAAAAAGAATTTTTGGTGAAATTTGAAAAAAATTTGAAATGTTTTCGCTTCGGGACTGAGAAAAAAAAGAATTGTTTGAAAAATTCAACAAAATTTTGAAATCTTTTCGCATCGGGAGTAGAAAAAAGGGTGTCTGACTGAATATTAACTGTGGTGCCGCCAGCACTAAAATTTTGTTTAAAACCAATGGTACCACCTGGTACTATATAGTACTACCTGGTACTCTATAGTACCACGTGTTTTTGGGCTCTACTAAGCACCAAACCATCATCATTACTGCCTTACGGCCAAATTTTCACTTCTCACTAAACAGTACCAGTTGGTACTATATAGTACCAAGTGATAAAACGTGTTTTTGGGTTCTACTAGGCACCAAACCAACGCCATTACCGCCTTACGGCCAAATTTGCACCTCGTACTAAATAGTACTACCTGGTACTATTTAGTACCAAGTGTTAAAAATGTGTTTTTTAAGCAGTACTAGGCACCAAAACAACACCATTAACGTCTAAAAGTGTTATAAGTCGAAAAAATTTCAAAAAGAATCCCTAAAGGTAGTAAAGTAACAGAAACCCAGTTTTCATATTCAGTCAGTTCATACTCAGTCAGCTCGAAAAAATTTCTAATTTTATTCAAATTTCACAAAAAATCCTTTTTTCCAAGTCCCGAAGCGAAAACATTTCAAATTTTACTCAAATTTCACAAAAAATCCTTTTGTTTCATGTCCCGAAGCGAAAACATTTCAAATTTTATTCAAATTTCACAAAAAATCCTTTTGTTTCATGTCCCGAAGCGAAAACATTTCAAATTTTATTCAATTTTCACAAAAAATCCTTTTGTTTCCAGTCCCGAAGCGAAAAAATTTCAATTTTTTACAATTTTCACAAAAAATCCTTTTTTTCCCACCCTCTTCTTTTCCTTTTTTTAGCGGACCTTTCCGCAGCGGACGTTTCCGTACAGCGGACCTTTCCGCGCAGCGGACCTTTCCGTACTCAATCACTTTTTGCTCCACGATTTCACCAAAAAAATCAAAATTCTTCCAAGTACGGGAAAGTCAATTGAAAATCATTCCAAAAATTTTTCAAGTTTTAGCGGTTTCGGCTCGAAAATAATTCTTCAAAATTTTCAGAAGGCATGTAACGGTCAATTCAAAATATATTCTCTTGAAACTCGACCGATCGAGGTCCGCATGGTGCAAAAAACAATAGATTTCTCAGAGCAAAAAAATAAACACATTACGTGCGAGAACTAAAAAATTTCGCATAGTGAAACTTTTCACGGTGCAGAAACTCAAAACATCAAGCCAGGCAGAATGTTTGCACTAAAGAATAAATCAAATAAACTCACACAGAAACAAACGCCGCCAATTATCGAGGCAATAATGCCCAAAAACGATAACACTCCGCCAACCGAGCCTGCAATGATGGCTACTTTGTTGTGCTCTGGTTCCGATTCGACAGTGGAGTTAAGTCTGAAAATGCCAAATTAAATACAAATAGCTTCGAAAAGTGCGGTTATCACACGATTACAAAAGCTTACGGAAGTTTCGATGGAACGGTGAGGAATTTGACAAAAGTGTTGTCGACAAGGTTGTCATCGAGCACATTCGTCTCGTTCTCTGGATCCTGAAGGCTGCAGCCGTGAACATTCACCAAATAACGCTGAAAAATCACTGTTAACGCTTCTAAACAGGCAATTCCAAAAAAATTCGTAAACCCCAGTCTCCAGAAATCCAAGCTGCGCCCGAGCGTTAGCTTTACATTTTTTAGACTAAAACGAGCGCCAAATCAAGCTTGGTGAAAACCACAAACGACCACGAAGGCCCGCTGCGGGAAGGTCGGCAAAAAAAACTTCTGACGTTTTTTTTTTCTTTACAACCAAACATTAGACACTACTGCTTAAGAAAATTCAGAAAAAAATGGAGACGATTTTCGAAGTCAGCGCCATCAAAAACCTCCTCCCCCCTCCCCGCCCTCCTCTTTCCCTTTTTCTAGCGGACCTTTCCGTCCTCAATCGGTGAAAACATCCCGCTGGAGTGTTTAAAGTACAAAATTTCGGCCAAAATTATTTGCCAGCAGCGCCCCAGCTTGGACTTGTAACTCGAATTTTGACGCTTTTTGTGACTTCAACTTGCCCCAAAATTTTTCAAACTTACCATCGAGAACGGACCATGTTTTTTGTTGTCTGCCGGAACCTTGAGCTTCTCCACCTCACACTCCTTCAAGGGCCAGCCCTCCCTGAACTCAGAAAGCTCGACCATTTGACATTTCCCATTCTTTTGCAGAACAAGTCTCTTTCCGTCCATGTCCAGAGCAATGTGATCGTCACAAGTCACTGTCTCAATATCTTGGGGAACTCTTGGGTTCTCAGGAGTCGCTACACCATCTACCCCGGTCTGAATTGAAAAGATAGTAGGTTGGCAGGAGATTTGGTAAACGTGCTCATCTGATGACGTGAAGCGAAAGCCCGTGACACACGTACTCATGTTTAAAATGCTCGGTAGTGTATCTGAACCTCTGACGGCACAACGCCTACAAAAAAAGTCAAAAATTCAAGTCCAACCTACCTTCCATCCGGCAACTCCACATCACCCTTGGTTGTGATGTTGTCGCCATGTATCAAGAATTGGAATGTGACGGCCTTTAGGCCCAAAGTTCGGAGCGGGGTAACCGGCTCGCTGAAAAACAAATCGTTGGCTAAAAATGAATGCTCTCTAAGATAAAATCGAACCGTCAACTCACTTGTTGATTTTTCCAGTTCCTTCGTCATGGAAAAATCTCGCCAGCTTGCCGGCGTCATCGAATCCATAGGTCGTGATGAGAACGTCGGTGGGGCTGGGGTGCTCGAACATTGACCCGCACATCAACAAGACCCGAGTAATCGTAGCGAACGTTCCTGCAGTGTCCATATTGATCGCAGTCGCGATTCTTCCGGAGCGCTGTTTTCGACTGACCGACCACTGGATGGGAAATGACCGCAAATGAGGCCCGGTTAGAGTTTGAACTTATTTTGATTTTCCGCACATGTCACGAGAGTCGTTATGCAAATTTTTATAGGAAAATCAAAAAAAAAATGAATTTAGATTTTTTTCCATGGAAAAGCGACCGAACTTTTCGGCAAAATTTCGATATTTTTTGGGAAAACTTTGACTATGGTAATAGTTAGTGAGGTACCTTCTTTTTTACGTACCACCTTACCCTTCAAAAACGGCTGCAGCCTGTGATTTTACACTTTATACGATGAAACATGTCCGGAACTAAACTTATGGAACTAAATGAGTCGTCACAGCCTTCGTAGGTACCCTTAAAACGATAGAGCTATTATAGTAATTCAGTCCCAGCTAGGTCGAAGCGTTTTTTTCTAACTTTAGTGCCCAAGCTTGGGCGCAGTTCGCGTAGTACCTTTGTTGTGGCCAAAATAAGGAACTTTTTCCTAAGGGGGTCGCGGCTTTTCGGTCCCCGCCTTTTCGGGCCCGCCTTTTTGGGGTGGGAAACTTTTCGGTTCCAAAAAAGGAATTTACCCTCCTGGGCGAAAAGGTCGTTGAATATCTTGGCAGCCCCTGAAAGGCGCGACCTGAAACTCTCAGGAATTGATACAGTGGCAAAAAAGGCACCATTTTGCATCCGGGAAGCGTCAAAAATGTGGCAAAACCTCTCTAGATGAAAAAACCAATTTGAAGGGCGCGCCATTTTCCCACATTTTTGATACTTCCCGGATGCAAAATGGTACGTTTTTGCCACTGGATCAGGTACCCCGCTTTTTTGACTTATTGATGGATCATCGCAATGACACTTGGATTCTGAAGCCACGTTTGTTCACATTAACGGAGACCAACTCCAAATTGAAGAACGGACTTATACCACTCTCGTATATAAATGTAGCCTGTCATAGTTGTGCGGCTTGTTGAAGAACGCCAACAAAAAAGTAACAATATCGGCGTCTCTGGCTATAGCCGGCTAAACTTTATAAGCCCAGTACATGGCTAATGCAAGCTACAATCAAATCAACTGCTGACCCAAGTAAAGCAATGTTAGATGTCTTACAGAGATCGCCTTTTGCGGCGATTAGCACAAGCCGGGCCGCCCTTCGAGTTTTGAAACCCGATAATCCCAAAAATCCAGAACTACCTGGATGAATCTCTTGTGGTTCACGTTGCGAACTGCTGGAGCGTTATTAATAAATCAGCGTTTTCGCTTCTCTAGGTCAAATCAGGTGACACCAGCTTGCAAGATAAACCAGGAAGAGGTCGGACATCGGATTTCGACGATCAGGCACTTCTGGCAGCCGTGGAAGACGACGAAAGCTTGACAACACGAATGCAGTCAACGATCGTTAGACGTCTCAAAAAGCTTGGAAAAGTATGGAAATTGGCTGGATGGGTCCCTCACGAACTCTCCGACAACAGCAAAGCCGACTGCGCGATTTGCTGAAAAATGCCGGATAATTATGCATCAACCTAATACCTAGACAAAACAGAAAATGAATACGATTTTTGCAATCAGCGATGTCGATTGCCCTCCCTCCCCTTCCCCGCCGCTGTACCACCTTTTTTTCAGCGGTCCTCGAGGGGCGTAGACAACTTTTCATTGTATAAAATGTCTTCCGCATGTCGCGCCCTTTTCCTTTTCCCAAAACTTGATTTCTTTTTGAGTGGTGGTCAATCTGTGGAACTTCAGATAAAGGATTATATTTATTTGCTTAATAAGTGACACACATTTTGCCACGAAATCAATGATTCGGATCGCCTATTTCGGCGTGGTCTCTGGCTTTTTGGAGCCAGCCTTCTTCTCCGCTGGCAACCAGGGACCAGTGATATCCGTGGCACCGCAAGCGACACCGGCCTGAAATCAAACAAATTGTAAAACTAAAAAAGCCCAAAAAAATCAAATTCCCTCGAAAGGCTCACCGACTGAATAATAGCTAAAAAGTTAGCCGACTCGATCTCATCCTGGTGGGACGCATGCCAAAAAGTCTCCTTCAGTCGACTGAAGGCATCAGCCAGAGCCGCGTATTGGTCAGGAAGACATTTCTCAAAGTGCCACTGCTTCTTCAAATCCCGCATTTTGTCCAAATCCTGTTCTTCGGCCCAAGGAAGGGGGGAAAACATCTCGAAACACATCATCAACCAGGACTGGAAGTCATCACATTGGCCGGTGGGTCTGCGATAATGGGCGGCGATGGACGCGTACTTCGGAGTGCCCATCAGACGGTCCGATGGTCTGGGAGATCGAAAACGACGGGTCAAGCCAAAGTCGATGATTGTCAGCTGAAAATGGAACATGTAACGGACTGCAAGCATTTTTGAAGAACGTCCAAAAATCTCGAACAGTATAGATTTTAAATTTTTGACTTGCACCATTTTAGGTTTAAGTCTGCACCGTGGAAATTCCAACTTTCGGTCTCACACAGTTCAAAATCGAAAGTACGGAAGCAATTTGCACTTTCCAAAAGCTTGCTCCTGCAATTTCCGCCACTTACCGTTGCGGCAAAACTCTCCCCCTTTTCTGAACTTCCCTCAATCTGAACTCTCCCCCTTTTTGAACCCTCCCCCTTCAGAACTCCCCCCTTTTTGAACTCTCCCCCTTGAATGAACCCAACCCCTTTTTGAACACTCGCCCTCATTTTGAAAATTGAAAAAATGTGACATCTTATACGATGAAAATTTTTTAACGGTAGAATAGTATTTATTTTGCTAAAATCATATGTACTTAAGTGTTTATGGTGTATATCGCTTCCTTTGCGATGTCACACCTCATTTTTCTCAATTTGAAATTTTTTTATCGTATAAGATGTCCACCTAATTTTTTCTCAATTTGAAAAAAAAATTCTTCGCATAAGAATTTTGTCACACCTCGTTTTTTCAATTTTCAAAATGAGGGAGTGTTCAAACAGGTGGAGAGTTCAGATTTTTGGCGAAAATCAAAAAAAGGGGGAGAGTCCAGGCTCAACCGCCACTTACAAATGGTGCATCACAGTTATGTTGAGTCAAAAAATGTCCCGGCTTGATGTCCCCATGACAATATCCCATATTCTGCAAGCCTCTGATAGTGTAACATGTCTGATAACAGATGCCGACCTTGGCTTTGAAGTCCAGCTTCTCCTCCTTCAGGATCGCAGTCAAGGATGGACCCTTCAATGGAGTGATCGTGTAAAGACAGTCTTCTACCCGGCCGTATTCGATAATCGGCGGAAACCGCACCTCACCCCTGAAAAAATGCAGTGCAGTAAAGGAAGACATGTACAGGGCACGTCAAGCTGACATTTGTGAGATAAGCTATAAAACGGTCCGGTGAATGAATTTGCAATCCGCCAAAAAAGACGCGAAATTTTTTTTTCAGCACCGAATTCCGAAATGCGGTGCTGACTTAAGCACTAAAGTCTTCGGTGCAGACTTAAGACTTTGTGCGCTGATTTCGAAAAACTTAGAAAATTTTACCGGATTTCAGAATTCGGTGCCGAGAAAAAAAGTCGACGCCGGTTTTTCGATTTGGGCGTCCACTTTTTTGTGCACCGAAAATCGCGATTTGGGAAAACGAAATTTTTAATTCTTATATGTCCACCTTTATATACAGCATATTTGGTATTAAACAAAATGGGGACGTCTGAGGGTTAACGGTAAAAAAGAATTTTAACATTTGGACAAAAACTAAAAAAGTTATAGCCAATTCAAATCCAACCGAAAAATTGCAAAAAAAAGCCAAAAAATTGTCAACGAACCAAAACTTACGTTCCAAGTTCCGCCACAAGGTGCCAAAGAATGGTGATCTCGACCAAGACCTTTGCTTTCTCGACCCGATTGTGTTTTGCGGCTATGAATTTGACTGCCGTTTTCTCGTTCGCAGCGTTGAAAGGATAGACCACCGAGAAGGCGCCTCGAGCGATTGGACTGTTCGCGCACATGGCAAAACACCTGCATTTCCCGACAAATCGCTGAAATCGCACAAAAGTCATTCTTATTGCCTTGTCTTCATAAAAAAAATGTTGTTTGGCAAAGGGTATCTTTTACATATTTTAATATTTTGATACAGCCTTTTCTCCTCCACAACTTTCTTTTTAGTTTTTTGTTTGAAAACTTAATTTTTTTCAGGCTCAAAAGGTTTTTTGAGGTCCTCTTCGCCGTCGAATTTTTCACCGTAGATTTGCTTAGACAGGGAGCGGAAGAGGTGGTAACCGGTTAGCGGACAGGTCGAGAGTATAGCGGACGCTGAAAAACCTCTCATTTCTTGGAGTGCGGTCCTGACGACTAGTGCAACATGGGAGCAAAATGATTCGTGGTGCAAGATGACTGGGCCTTGCCTATCGGGTCTTTCAGTCGAATGAAGCCCCATTCACACCGTGTACAGTGAGGGACCTGATCCAGTGGCAAAAAACGTACCGTTTTGCAGCCGGGAAGTATCAAAAATGTGGCAAAATGCTTCCCTTTCCAAGTGAAAAAAATCCGATTTCAAAAGCGCGTCTTTTTGGGAAGGAAAGGGCGCGCCCTTCAAAACATAGTTTTTTTTACTTGAAAGAGAGGCATTTTGCTACATTTTTTTGATGATACGTTTTTTGCCATTGGATCAGATCCTTCACTGTAGCTGGGCAGTGTAGAGCTCCATTTCCCTCATACAAAGAGCAGGTGCGCTTTTGAAATCGGAGTTTCTTCACTTGGAAAGGGAAGCATTTTGCCACATTTTTGATAGTTCCCGGCAGCAGAACGGTACGTTTTTGCCATTGGATCAGGTCCCCCACTGTAGTTGACCGTGGCGTTCTTTTCGAGCGTTTCCCAATCCACCATGAAAAATGCCAAATCTTATCAAAATCGGTCTACGGCAAAAAAAGTAGTAGCGATATTACAATTGAAGGTCAAGACCTAAAAATAAACCGTTGTGCGTCCTAGCAACTTTGCTGATCATTTATTTGTACCAATTTGGTCATAAAATAGCTTTTTCTACGATTACACATATCTGAAATTCCAATTTGGCGTTTCGGACTGATATTAACCATGTTATACATGACAAAATTAAAGTAAATTTTTTTTACGGATTTGACCCAATTATTCTATAAAATAGGTAAACAAGAGCCACAGTTGACGAAACTCTCCCTCTTCCCTTCTCTAAAGACCCCAAACCTCATTCTTGACAAGTCCAGATCTGCGCATCTTCTCCTCCAAGAATTCCGCGATCGAGGTTAGTAAAATCTCTCTATTTGCTCCCGTTTCATAACTAACATAGTTTTAAAACTGCTCACATGTTCCATTAGCTTGGAGTCCTGCTGAGGCGCTTCCTCGGCAGGATATTGATCTTGATCATGGGTAACATAATTTTTCCATCTAAAAGTACTTTACTACTTTTTGGATTGTCAAGACGAGCTTATTCTGGCGTTACCTTCGAGGTTTGATGTGCCGGGGCATTTTAAACACAAAAAAAATAAAAAATAATGAATTGATGGTGCCTATTTTGAAGTATTTTTGCTACTGCTGCAAAACTTGTAGACCGATTTTGCTGAAACTTAGCCCACACGAAGAGAAAGACATGTTTAACAAACCTCCCTGATCAGATTTGTCAAAAAAAGTACTTTACACTCTAGAAGAGCTAAAACTTTTGCAAAAACGGGCATATTTTCGGCCAGTTTTGCCATAAAACCATAAGTTTGTTATCTAAAAAAATCGAACTATAATAAACTGAAACGGATTGTCTTTCATATGATATAATAAACTTAATAAAATTATGGCCCTTTGGTGGCGTATGAGCCTGGTTTATCCGACCTGTCTTAAAAAAATTGAGAAAAATTAATGCCAAAATTCTTGGCATTCTGTTTCTGTTCGTTGTGCGACACCATTTCTCTGATGAGTCGATACAAAAAGAGCCGTTGGTGTCCACGCGTTGCTCGGCGAAAAAAACAGATGCCTCAAAAGCAAAGTTTTGCCTCCTCGATGGTTCATCTTTGAGCCCAAAACATAATAAAAAAATTTCAAAAAAGAAAAATATCGATACCCTTTGCCATACAACAAACACTCCTTGTAAAACAAAGATTGCACAGTGGAATAAAATAAAAAATATAAAAAATCAAAAATTTCAACCCACCGGAATTCGGAGTTTCAACTCCTTATCCTCCAAGTAATCCTTGGGGTCTTTCGGCGGCTTCACCCTCGGAACACACGAAATCTTCGAAAGCTTGAGCACAGTAACACGCTTTTTCTTCCCCGCTTCACCAGTCTCTTCCTTGTGTGCCGTACCAGGTTGCAAAGAGGCCGGGATGGAAGACGCTTCTGGCCATTCCTTGGCTTTTTGTATCTTCTAAAAATGGGAACTCGAAATTGCTAGAAATATAAATAGTTGATTGTGACGCACAAAGATATTGCACAGTGCAAAAAAATGTTGCACAGTGCAAAAAAATGCTGCACAGTGCAAAAAAAATGTTGCACGGCACAAACAAAAGGTTGCACAGTGCAAAAAAATGTTGCACAGTGCAAAAAAAAGTTGCACAGTGCAAAAAAAATGTTGCACAGTGCAAAAAAATGTTGCACAGTGCAAAAAAAAGTTGCACAGTGCAAAAAAAATAATGGAAACAAAATGTTGCACAGTGCAAAAAAATAATGGAAACAAAATGTTGCACAGTGCAAAAAAAAGTTGCACAGTGCAAAAAAAATGTTGCACGGCACAAACAAAAGGTTGCACAGTGCAAAAAAAATAATGGAAACAAAATGTTGCACAGTGCAAAAAAATGCTGCACAGTGCAAAAAAATGCTGCACAGTGCAAAAAAATGTTGCACAGTGCAAAAAAATGCACCAAAAATCACATTGACTCACATAGAAGCAAACACCGCCAATTATCGAAGCAATAATGGCCAAAAGGAATAACCCTCCGCCCACCGAGCCTGCAATGATGGCTACTTTGTTGTGCTCTGGTTCCGGTCCCACGGTGACGTTGCGTCTGAAAATGGCAAGGTATTATCAATACAACTAGGTTCAAAAAAGGCGGTTATCACGTGATTACAAAAGCTTACGGAAGTTTCGATGGGTCGATGAGGAATTTGACGAAAGTGTTGTCGACAACGTTGTCATCGAGTACATTCGTCTCGTTCTCTGGATCTTGAAGGCTGCAGCCGTGAACATTCACCAAATAACGCTGAAAAATCACTGGTAACGCTTATAAACAGGCAATTCCAAAAAAAAATCGTAAACACCAGTCTCCAGAAATCCAAGCCGCGCCCGAGCGTTAGCTTTTCATTTTTTAGACTAAACGAACGCCAACTCAAGTGCGACGCTCGGATTTTTATGAAACTTGGCACAAACTTCGAAAATTTTATTCTAAAATACACGCGAGAATCCAGAGCACGCTAAACGCGGAGAGCGGTCAGAGAGAAAAGCGCTTTTTGGCCATAACTTTGGCAGTTTCGTGCGGAAAATTAGATTTTTTGTAGAAACATTATCCTTTACGGTTGAAATAGGCATGAAAATTTTCGTGCCGAAATTCGGCAAAAAGTCCTAAATTTTTGCCGACTTTCGATCTAAAAATCTCGGTTGTTTCTGCAAAGCGCGAGCCAGGATTCTCGCATATATCTTAGAAAAAATTATTCTAAATTTGTGCCAAGTTTCATCAAATCTGAGCGTCGTGCTTGGAGTACTTCCCCTGTCAGTCAAATCAAGAAGAAGTGTAAAAAACCGATAGCGAAGAGTCTATTCCGGTCGCCGGACTCCTCTGTTTGATTGAGTACGGAAAGGTCCGCTGCGCGGAAAGGTCCGCTGTACGGAAACGTCCGCTGCGGAAAGGTCCGCTAAAAAAAGGAAAAGAAGAGGGTGGGGAAAAAAGGATTTTTTGTGAAAATTGTAAAAAATTGAAATGTTTTCGCTTCGGGACTGGAAACAAAAGGATTTTTTGTGAAAATTGTAAAAAATTGAAATGTTTTCGCTTCGGGACTGGAAACAAAAGGATTTTTTGTGAAAATTGAATAAAATTTGAAATGTTTTCGCTTCGGGACATGAAACAAAAGGATTTTTTGTGAAATTTGAGTAAAATTTGAAATGTTTTCGCTTCGGGACTTGGAAAAAAGGATTTTTTGTGAAATTTGAATAAAATTAGAAATTTTTTCGAGCTGACTGAGTATGAACTGACTGAATATGAAAACTGGGTTTCTGTTACTTTACTACCTTTAGGGATTCTTGTTGAAATTTTTTCGACTTATAACACTTTTAGACGTTAATGGTGTTGTTTTGGTGCCTAGTACTGCTTAAAAAACACATTTTTAACACTTGGTACTAAATAGTACCAGGTAGTACTATTTAGTACGAGGTGCAAATTTGGCCGTAAGGCGGTAATGGCGTTGGTTTGGTGCCTAGTAGAACCCAAAAACACGTTTTATCACTTGGTACTATATAGTACCAACTGGTACTGTTTAGTGAGAAGTGAAAATTTGGCCGTAAGGCAGTAATGATGATGGTTTGGTGCTTAGTAGAGCCCAAAAACACGTGGTACTATAGAGTACCAGGTAGTACTATATAGTACCAGGTGGTACCATTGGTTTTAGACAAAATTTTAGTGCTGGCGGCACCACAGTTAATATTCAGTCAGACACCCTTTTTTCTACTCCCGATGCGAAAAGATTTCAAAATTTTGTTGAATTTTTCAAACAATTCTTTTTTTCTCAGTCCCGAAGCGAAAACATTTCAAATTTTTTTCAAATTTCACCAAAAATTCTTTTTTTGAAGTCCGGAAGCGAAAACATTTCAAATTTATTCAAATTTCACAAAAAATCCTTTTTTTCAAGTCTCGAAGCGAAAACATTTCAAAAAAAATTTTTTCGAGACTAGTCACACCTAAAAATCAAAACACCAAGTACAATATAACTTACGCCTAAATCCATTACTCAAAAAATTTTTTTAAAAATTACTAGTTAACACTACTGCATAAGCAAAATTGTAAAATTCAGAAAAAAATGGATACGATATTCGAAATCTGCGCCTTCGAAAACCTCCCCCTCCCCGCCCTCCTCTTTTTTTTAGCGGACCTTTCCGCACAGCGGACCTTTCCGCGCAGCGGACCTTTCCGCACAGCGGACCTTTCCGCGCAGCGGACCTTTCCGCACAGCGGACCTTTCCGTCCTTCGTGCCTCTGTTTGACCTGCGTACCACTTGGGGTAGTTCCCTTGTCAGCCAAACTGATTTCCGAGCTGCGGCCGAGCTTTCACTTCCAATTTGCTTTTTGTCAAAAAACTTATCGGACTTACCATCGAGAACGGACCATGTTTTTCGTTGTCTGCCGGAACCTTGAGCTTCTCCACCTCGCACTTGTTCAGCCGCCAGCGCTGCGTAAACTCGGCAAATCTGATCATTCGGCACCTCCCATTCTTTCGCAGAACAACTTCCGTTCCGCCCACGGTCAGAGCAATGTGATCGTCACAAGTGAGTGTCCGAATTTCCACTTTAGCATCCCCAGCAGCCGCTTTACCCGATGCATCCGACTCGACTGAACTTAATTCAGGGGTGCAGGGGATTTCGTACACGTGCTCATTCGATGCGATGAAGCGAACCAGCTGCTTACACCTATCCTTGTTTAAAATCCCCGGTTCCATGGCCGTACCGGCGACGGGACAACGCCTGCGAATAAAAACAGAGTCAAAAATTCAAGTCCAAGTCCAACCTACATTCCATCCGCCAACTCCACCTGACCCTTGATTGAGAGGTCCTCGTCGTGGATCAGGAATTGGAATGAAGCCGACTTCAGGTCATACTCTGTGAGCGAGGAAATCAGCGAACTGAAAAAAATGTAAGGTTACGCCTAAACTGCGCTGAGTCTGGCCAACTTTTCGTTGTATAAAACGTCCTCTGACTAGATATCAATTCCTGAAAGTTTGCCTTTCGGCTAAGCATAAACTAACAGGGGAAGTACCCCAAGTGCGACGCTCAGATTTTGATGAAATTCGGCACAAAATTAGAACAATTTTTTCTAAAATATATGCGAGAATCCTAGCTCGCGCTTTGCAGAAACAACCGAGATTTTTAGATCGAAAGTCGGCAAAAATTTAGGACTTTTAGCCGAATTTCGGCACGAAAAGTTTCATGCCTATTTCTACCGTAAAGGATAATGTTTCTACAAAAAATCAATTTTTTCCGCACGAAACTAGCAAAGTTATGGCCAAAAAATGTTTTCCTCTCTGACCGCTCTCCGCGATTAGCGTACTCTCTCGGCGGCAAATATCGTTCAATATCTCGGCGGCTCTTGCAAAGCGCGAGCTAAAACTTTCAGGAATTGATACTTAGTCCATGACCGACGTGTGTGCAAAATTTAAAGAAAATCTGAGCGTCGCACTTGGGGTACTTCCCTTGTAAGTCTAACCTGCCTAAGCCTGAGGGTAAGCCTTCCTTTTTCTGGCCCCGCCTGAGGCTAAGCCTGACCCTGATATTCCTTGCAAGCGGAATTGTTCGGGCGCAAGCTGCGAAGCGCGGGGCCAGAAAAAGGAAGTTCTACGTTAGACTGTATATTCTCCGCTGAGCATTTTCCATACATACAACCGAACCCCTCGTCCACTCACCTGCTGATCTCTCCGGTTGTTTCATCGTGGAAGAATCTCGTCAGCTTGCCATTTTCGTTTATTCCGTAGGTGGTGATGAAGACGTCGGTGGGACGGGGTTGCTCGAACATCGGCCCGCACATCAACAGCACCCGGGTGATTGCAGCGAAGGTGCTTGCAGTGTCCATAGGGATACTATTCCTCTGAAGCGTTGTTTTCGACCGACCAACCGCTAGATGGGAAACAAACGCAAATCAGGTTTCGACCAACTTTTTTTCATTTCTGCCATTGACTTTTTATGCACTTTTTTGGGAAAGATCGAAAATTTAAATTTATTAGAGGAATCCGCTGATTTTTGGAGAAAGTTTTGGAGTTTTCACGAAAAGCCCGCAGGGAACTTAGAAAAATTCTCGGATTTGAGAAGCAGGCAGCAAAAATATTTAATTTTTTTTTTGCATCGAGATTTCTCGGGTCGACAACACTTCGGGACAGCACAAAATCGATTGATACGGGGCGTAGGGCAAGTAGACACCCAAAAAAAGGTTGTAGGAAGTGTCTAATAGGCCTGGCAAAGCCGTTGGACGGTAAGAGAAAGCACGACGAAGGCTCGGCGGGAACTTACAATATGCCAACTTTTTATGAATCGGGCTATTACTAACGTTAACTTCCTTTACTCTGAGTTGTTACAACATATATAAGACCAAAATTTTCGGGGACAACACAAAGATTCATAATTTTTCTCTTGATATTATTGATGTGAGTACATGCAAAATACCTCAGAATAGGTGATAAACGATCCTAGAGCTCGATCAATCCGATTATTTTACTGGCAGGGGAAGTACTCCAAGTGCGACGCTCAGATTTTGATGAAAGATTGCACAAATTTAGAATAATTTTTTCTAAGAGATATGCGAGAATCCTAGCTCGCGTTTTGCAGAACAACCGAGATTTTTAGATCGAAAGTCGGCCAAAATTTAGGACTTTTTGCCGAATTTCAGCGCGAAAAGTTTCATGCCTATTTCTACCGTAAAGGATAATGTTTCTACAAGAAATCAAATTTTTCCGCACAAAACTGCCAAAGTTATGGCCAAAAGGCGTTTTTCTCTCTGACCGCTCCCTACGTTTAGCGTGCTCTCTCGGCGGCAAAAATCGTTCGATATCTCGGCGGCGCCCGCAAAGCGCGAGCTAAAACTTTCAGAAATTGATAGTTAGTCCATACCCGACGTGTGTGCAAATTTTAAAGAAAACCTGAGCGTCGCACTTGGAGTACTTCCCCTGTGGCTTTTATTTTTTCAAAAATTAAAAAAAATTTTTTTTTTGACACCAGGGTAAGATGGTCTCACCATATCTTTTTAATTGAAGACTAAGTTTTTGGGGAATTTTTGATAATTTTTGACCGAAACCCCCTAAGGGTGATTAGTGAAATTGACGAGGTCATTAGTTTTTTTTACACTGAATATCCGTACTTTTGCATATTTCATTCTGAAATTACAGTAATCCACTTCGATTTCCATATTACCAAATTTATTTTAAAAAATCAAAAAATCTTCAATAAAATTCGACAAAAGGCACAAAAAAGAGTAACTCGTAACAAACTGCATGTGAAATGTAAGACCTTTCGGCCCAATTTTTACAATTTCAAGTTCAGATTCCACTCGGTTAATGGGAAGTAGACCATTTCGGCGTGAAATACGACGGTTCTGAGATGATAAGACGAAAAAAAATTTAAAAAAAATTGAAGACATAAAAATCATCTGGGGATATGTGCGGAAACAAGTGAAAAGTGGCGTATTTTGGGGGCGAAATGCGAAAAAACATCAACTATAAGTGCGCACTGTGTAAAATGCAAAAAAAAAATTTTTTTTTGAAAAAAAATTTCAAAAAAATTTCGAAAATAATATGTAAAAATAGCGATAGTATTTACATGAGTGCAATCAAAATTTGGTTTCCTACTGTAAGAAGAGCGGTCTTAAAGCATCGGCGAAATGCGTATTGGTAATGGAATTGAGGACCTGTTTTTGCGTTCACGACTTCGAATACGACCACGAATCGCCTAACCATGAGCATGACCATGTCCATCGCTGAAAGTTTGGTTATTAGGAAATTGGGTTTGGCCCATTTGCTTTGTGTTTGCCACTTTTCGAAAAAAAGGTGAAATTGGTGAAATTTGCACAGTGCCCCCTGAAAAAGCTGGGATTTTGGCAACGGCAAGAACAGTGGAAAAAAATTTTTCAATTTTCTCTCATCCTAGGACTACAGTAATCCATGCTTGCTCGTATTTTTCTGCGGGCTTTCGAACTTGGCCGCACACTTCACAAAAAATCGAAGAGCACGGTGCAACTCAAAGAAACGCAAAATTTTCCGCGCTGTGGAGTAAAATCCTGATTGCAGTTGATTTAGAAATTATTTATGATAGTTTACGATACGCAGACATCATTTTCGTATCAAAAATTTTTGATTCGCAACGCATAATGTACCAAAGTTTCCACTGCACAGTGCAGTCTCTAGAACTTGATTTTTCCGCACTGTGCGATAAAATTTCGGGCCACTTAAGATTTCAGAGGCTTCATTATAACGTGGGGAGTTGATGCAAATCATTTCCCATTCTAAAATTCCATTTTCTCTGTGCATTACGCAAAATTTTTCGTTTTGCACAGTGCAGTCGTCCAATTTCGCCCAATTTTCGACATTTCTCGATTTTTTCCGGAATAAAACTCGCCAAAACTTTTCCAACTCACCCTCCAAGATGTTCTTGAAGCTGGAGCAGTGCAATGCACGCAAATCCAAGGACAATAGCGGCCAATTGGATCAAATTTGAGTGGTCATTCGCCTTCTCTTGGGCCAACACCTCGAAGAACGTGACGTAAATGAAGGTCCCGGCGGCACAACCCTCCAGAATGATGACAAACAGGTCCCTCTTGATCGGATCAATGTCCCAGGTGGTTAGAAGGACGCCCAGCATTGAGCCAACCGGCGTCATTAGGGCGTAAATGCAGATTGTGAGGATATTGGCGAGGATCTTCTTCTTTTTCTTACTCGAATTGATACCCCTGGAGACTTGAAGCCCCACACTGAAGGCCTCAATACCCTTGTGGATGATCAGAGAGATGAACAGCGTGATAATTCCCGACTTCTCCTCCTGCACCCCGAGCGCAAATCCCTCCAAAATTGAATGGAAGGACATCACAAAGGCAAACGTTATCGACTTCAGGATGCCGCCGTTGGCTGAGTCCGAATTCACGTAGCGCACGCTCTCGTCCATGACGTGTCTGAAATGCAAAAACGTCGTATTTTTCGATCAACGAGAATGGAGAGTCGACTGCACAGTGCGGTGACAAAAAAATCGAACTTCGAAAAATTCGGATGACTAAAAAATTTTGAGTTTTTTGTAAGTTAATGTAATTACATCTATTCTTAGGCGTAGAAATCGAAAAAGCAAAAAAAGTTCACCGATACCCTCAAAAAACCATTAAAATTTTTCTGCACAGTGCAGTGACAAAAAAATCGAATTTTGAAAAAACAGGATGACTAAAAATTTTGATTTTTTTGTAAGTTAATGTAATTACATCTATTCTTAGGCGTAGAAATCGAAAAAGCAAAAAAAGTTCACCGATACCCTCAAAAAACCATTAAAATTTTTCTGCACAGTGCAGTGACAAAAAAATCGAATTTTGAAAAAACAGGATGACTAAAAATTTTGATTTTTTTGTAAGTTAATGTAATTACATCTATTCTTAGACGTAGAAATCGAAAAAGTAAAAAAAGTTTACCGATACCCTCAAAAAAACATTAAGACTTTCTGCACAGTGCAGTGACAAAAAAATTCGAATTTTGAAAAAAACGGGAAACTAAAAATTTTGTTTTTTTGCGAGATGATGTAATTACGTCTGTTCTTAGACGTAGAAATCGAAAAAGTAAAAAAGTTCACCGATACTCTCAAAAAACCATTAAAATTTTTCTGCACAGTGCAGTGACAAAAAAATCGAATTTTGAAAAAATCGGTGGACTAAAAAGTTCGAAAATTTGTGGAGGTGTCTAGTTAGATGCACCGTTGAAAATAATATTCAAAAAAAATATTTAAAAATATGATATTTCCCAAAAATCCAGGAAAACTCTAAACCGCACAGTGCAAAATACATATTTTTGATTTTGCACTGTGCAACACCGAAAGTTTGTGTTCAAAAAATGCACAGCAAACGGGCCTGAGCTTGTCGCATTTTGTAGCGACAAAATTGGAAAAGTTTCACTGCACAGTGCAAAAAAATTCCGCAAATTTTTTCTTCGCACTGTGCAAAATTTCCAAAGACTTACTCGTGCGTGAGAACGGCTGGGTAGGGCTCAACGCCGCTGAACTTCCGATCCACCGGGTAGCCTTCATCATCAATTTCGGCGACATCAACAGTTGTCGACCCATTCACTCCGTTCGATTTCTCATTTTGCCCAACAGACGGGGTAAATGACCTAAAATATGGAAATTTTATGCTCAAAGTCTTGAAAATTGTTGCAAAAATAGTTGCAGAATATGTGTTGAGCAACAGTTCGTATTCGCTTACTGCGGTGGAGGCGCTGGGCCATGCGTGTGGCCGTGCGAAGAGAAAACTTTGAGGCTGATCTCTTCGAAGAAGTAGACCAGAAAGAAGCCCATGCAAGCCAAAAATTCGGGCAAGGGATAGGCGAACTTCCATCCGTACGTGTCCTTGTACTTGTCAAAGTTGCCACTGAAATCGAAATTTCATTTTATTCTGTCATTATGACACATTTTTTGGACACTTGTCAAAATCCCCGAAAATTTGAAAATTTTCGAGAGACCCTAAACTTTGGGAAAATATCAGCAGTATATCAACTCACTTGACATGAGGGAAAATGTCCAAGAAACAAGTCCCCAAGAAAACTCCTCCGGCAAAACAGGAGAGGAGCGTTAGAACCCAGGAATGTCGACGTTGAGCATGAGCTCCTTGTTTGGCCATGTATCGGAGCAGCTGAAATCAAATATGTTAAATTTGCAGTTACACCGCTTCTACTACGTTCAGAGTAGGTCATGCTACAATTTTTATCACTCTTCTACAACGGTTTCTCTATTAAAAGCCCTTAGGGAAAAGGTTGATTTCTGACAAAAATTCATGGTTTTTTCGTAGGCTAAATTACACTAAAAAATAACCATAAATTTTCGTAAAAATTTAAAAGACGATTCTAGCATCTAAAGTTATATTTTTTTTGCTTTACAGATATCACGAAGCCTCTCAAGGTACGTTGGAGACCAAAACGGAACGGCTTTTGCTTACTTTTAGCGGGACCAGACCGGCAATGAAGGTTGTCAGGAACATGACGATGGCCAAGCATGCTTGAAGCGTCACACCTTCCATGGTGTAGCCTGAAAAAACGCCAAAGTAAGTTTTCAAATCTCTACTCAGTACTTAGCATCATAATATATCATAATAGTATCAATTTAAAATACGAGAATTTTTTGCGATATAAGCGATATCAAAAGATCTATCAATATCGCCAGTTACAGTAATCCCAAAGTTATAAAATTTTCCGTATTCACTTTGTTACAGTATGTGTGGGATAATGGTGAACCACAATTTCCTTTGCCACACTTTCTAACCTTTTTGGCATTCTGCACTAGCGCGGGAAATTCAAATCAGACAAGCTTGGAACTGACTCAAATGATCAACAAAGCTTGTCAGCTTTCAGGTTATGTCTTTTTTGACAAATACCCCATTAAAAACACCCGTAATACCACCCATCTTTGTTATCTGAAGTCATAAGAAATTCCTTTCGAATTTTAATGACTAGTAGGTCAAAAATAACAAGGTACTTAGTGGAGAAAAGTGCAAATGGGTCATAACCACGGTTAATATTGTTTACCGGCAAGAACTGAGGTAAACAGAGCAGTTTGAGCGAGATCTTTATATTGTATTTACTTGACACCCCATGCCAATTTAGGCAAAAAATTGATGAAATCTTATCATTTTTAAGTAAAAAAGGTTAGAAAATTGAAAAATAAAAGTGTTACCATACTTCATAAAGTTTTTTATCTAAATTAAAAACCATGTTAGATCAGAAAAAATAGCTAAATTAATATAAAATTAGTCAACTTTTGGTCTAAAACATGATTAAAAACAAGTCGGAGCGCTTATCAACAAATTCTCCGTTGATTAGACGGAAATAAAAGTTTGCCGAGATGAATAGACACTAATCCTAAACGAAAATACAAATTTGGGTACGGATCGTCTTAAAAAGTAGTGATAAAAAGTAAGTCCTCGTCACAAACCAGCACTAAATTAAAGTAAGGGAAGCTCTGAAGCTTTCTACTCATTTTTTTGTTGAGTCAATGGCGGGGTAGCAAGCCGCACGGTGAAGTGTTTGAAAATCAAAAAATCTGCACAGTGCAGTCAAAAAATAGATTTGCACCGTGCAATCGAAAATCGAGATTTTTGCACCGTGCAAAAAAAATCTTTTTTTCGTCGCAACTGAAATTTGCACCGTGCAAAAAACATTATTTTTGTGTGCGAAAAAAGTTCGCTTTTTGTCGCACTGTGCTAGAGAGTTTGAAAATTTTCTTTTCGCACTGTGCAAAAACTTTCCCAAATTTTTCCGCACTGTGCGAAAAAGTTTGTTTTTTGTCGCACTGTGCAAAAACTTTCCCAAAGTTTTCCGCACCATGCGAAAGCAGTTGTTTTTTGCCGCACTGTGCAAGAGATTTCCGAAATTACAATATATTTTCGCACGGTGCAAAAGATTTTCTTAATTTTTTCGCACTGTGCAAAACAAAAGTTTGTTTTTTGCCGCACTGTGCAAGAGATTTCCAAAACTTATTTTTTGCACTGTGCAAAACAAAAGTTTGCTTTTTGGCGCACTGTGCAAGAGAGTTGGAAATTTTTTGTCGCACTGTGCAAAAACTTCCCCAAATTTTTCCGCACTGTGCGAAAAAGTGTGTTTTTTGTCGCACTGTGCATGAGAATTCGAAAAAATTTCATTTCGCACTGTGCAAAAACATTCCTAAATTTCATTGCACTGTGCGAAAAAAGTTATTTTTTTGCCGCACTGTGCGAAAAAGTGTGTTTTTTGTCGCACTGTGCATGAGGTTTCCGAAATTCCTTTTTTGCACTGTGCAAAAACCTTCCTAAATTTTACCGCACCGTGCGAAAAAAGTTTGTTTTTTGCCGCACTGTGCAAGAGAATTCGAAAAAATTTCATTTCGCACTGTGCAAAAACATTCCTAAATTTCATTGCACTGTGCGAAAAAAGTTATTTTTTTGCCGCACTGTGCAAGAGATTTCCAAAACTAATTTTTTACACTGTGCAAAAACTTTCCCAAATTTCATTGCACTGTGCGAAAAAAGTTATTTTTTTGCCGCACTGTGCAAGAGATTTCCAAAACTAATTTTTTACACTGTGCAAAAACTTTCCCAAATTTCATTGCACTGTGCGAAAAAAGTTATTTTTTTTGCCGCACTGTGCAAGAGAATTCGAAAAAATTTCATTTCGCACTGTGCAAAATTCCCCCCAAAAATATTCAAATAGCCCCGCTGGAATGCTCAAAACCTCGATGACCGCCAAACCAAACCTTTCATTTCGTTCCGAATTGCACAAGAATAGCGAAAAAGCCGGAAGGATCCGGAGGGATTTCCATTATTTCCCCCCGCAGGTGAAATCCCGCCGGTTCAAGGGCAAAAAAGAAAAGTAAAAAAAAGATCAGAACCAAAAGACATCATGGGATCCGAAAACGGGCTGAACAGCGAAGGGAAAGGGTGATTCCTTATCTGGGTTAACCCCAGCGGTCTCACGAATCCATCAAATCGAAGGGTTGTTTGCTTTTTTGCGGGAGAAAAGTATAAGTTTTCAGAGAGAAGGCTGTGCACTGTGCGGCGGAAAGTGTATTTTTTCGCACTGTGCAAAAAAATAAAAAAGTTTTTAATTCAAATTTTTGCACGGTGCAAATTTTTATGATTTTTTTTGTGCACTGTGCAGTCAAAATTTTGCTATTTTTTGCACTGTGCAGTCAAAATTTTGCTATTTTTTGCACTGTGCAGTCAAAAATTTGAGATTTTTTGCACTGGGCAGCCAAAATTTTGCTATTTTTTGCACAGTGCAGTTTCACAAAGTCTCAAGTTTCGCCGCACAGTGCAAAACTTCGGAAATCTCTGCACAGTGCAAGAAAAATTTTCAAGATTTTCTGCACTGTGCAATCAAAAAAAAGTTCCCAATTTTGCACATTGCACTCATAAAAGGCTAAAAAATATTTGGCATGGTGCAAATTTTTTCCCACAAACTATACTGTTCCAAAATTTCGATTATTCAAAATCCGCACAGTGCGGTCAAAAATCAATTTCACTGCACGGTGCAGCGAAAGAAAATTGATATTCGACACTCAATTTCCCACAAAAAAGTACAGTATACCCCCATGGGCCAATAAACCGCCCAATTTTCTGAGGGTATATATACGACGAGAAGAACGGGGCCCGACTGATTCAAGCAACTTCTAATTGCTCATATTGTCTTCAGCCCATCGATAATGGGGCGACTAAGACGAAGAGAAGGGGGGAAGAAGAGAGAGATCGCTCCTCTTCCGCACGTAGCAGAAACAAAGTCAAAACTTCTCGCGCCTACAGGCAGGGAAAACAACCAGCTGGGAGATTGCAAAACCCCTCCGGAAGTTGCGGGAATTTTTCGAATTTTGCGACTTTTTTCAAAATCTCCCCTCTCTATGGGGAGAAGTTTAAAAAATTTAATCTATAAGACAATCAAAAAAAACTTATTTTTAGACCCGATGACGTAAGAAGGTTGGTTTTCCCTATTTCCGCAATCAATACGTCAAAGACGATCGAAAATGGCGATAAATATTGCAAAACCTATTTTCCGAACGCTCAAAAATACATTTTGAAACGCCGCGCTAAAAGTACTGAGGTTTTACCGAAACTTGAGGAAAATTTTGAATGTTTTTTAATTGATATTCGAGACTCTTGGCTCGAGGATTTGCTGAAAAATCCGGGATTTTTGAGTCGCAAATTGATGAAAATTTGGAATTTTTTTTTTGCAAATTTTGGCAAGAAAAGTTTCATATTTATTTCTGCCGTAGAGGGTAATGTTTCTACAAAAAATAAATTTTTTCCACGCAAAATTGACAGAGATATGGCCAAAAAGTTTTTTCCCTTCGCTCTCCGCATCTCGCCTACCCTCTCGGCAGCAAAGATCGCTCAATATCTAGGCGGCCCCTGGAAAGCTCGAGCTAAAACTTTCTGGAATTGATATGCGGCCTATGCCCCAGTGTGTGACCAGTTGAACCCGAGATTTTTTGGCGAAAACTCGGCATTTTTTAAGGCGAATTTTTTGCGAACTTTTGCAAATTTTGGTATGAAAAGTTTCATATCTATTTCTACTGTAGAGGGTAATGTTTCTACAAAAAATCAATTTTCTCCACGCAAAATTGACAGAGATATGGCCGAAAAGTGCTTTTCTCTATGGCCGCTCCCCCCATTGCACACACTCTCTCACATATCGTTGAAAATCCCGGCTGTGCCTGAAAAACATGAACTAAAATTTTTGGATATTGTTGTTTTCCATGTACCTATCATATGGCCACTGTGTAAGCCGAGATATTCGATGAGACGAGAGAGTGTATGCAATGCGGAGAGCAGTCGATGAGAAAAAGCTTTTAAGCCCAGCAAAGCAAGAGCTATCATCTTTGGAGTTACTATATGTATATACACACATATAGATGTATATATACATACACATATATTCTGTATATGTATATGTGCACATATACATATCTTATATATATACATAAATAGAATATACATACACTTTCAAGATACGTAAGAAAAATCAGTCAAAACTTTGATTTTCATGTATATTTATACCCCATTTACAGTACTCCCACTTCCTAGAAACATTCAAAAATTCGAGAAACAATTTCCGGCTCATTCTCCGAACTGACAAACTCATCGCGTCATGTCGGGCAATATCGGAAGATTTGACATTCCCAATTTGCTAAACTCCCCATTTTTCTTCATCGGCGATGACACGAAATTCAATAAATCATCTTCCATATGCGGAGTCAACGCTTCCTTTCATGGCTCAAAAACAATTTCGGACCGTTTTTTTCCTTGATGATGACGCACATCATTAAAAAAACTTTAATTTAAAATTTTTCTCGCCCACATTTTTTAACATTTGGCCCACACATTGATTGGCCATATAACAATTTGCGAAAATTTTGAATTTTAACGATATACGAGAGAGTGTGTGCAATGGGGAGAGCGGTTAGAGAGAAAAACGCTTTTTGGCCATATCTCGGCCAATTTCGCGAGGAAAAAATTGATTTTTTGTGGAAACATTACTCTCTACGGTAGAAATA